AGATGGGTTTACAATGTTTTTCAAATGCTATTTTAATGTCATTTGACAGCAAATATTTGATAATGAAATTACCATGGCCACGTTTTAAAATGGTACAGTATGTGTAGGCAATCCGAATCTAAGGCAATCCGAATCACATCATTTAATTTCTTTTTAGTTAAACAATGAAACAAAAAGATAATATTATGTTCCTAATGTTTCCGCAGACAGAAGAATCAATTGATACAAGTTTCAAAAAATCTACACCTATGTGTAAAGAAATATACGTTTGTAGAGATCCAGAAGTACTTGAATGACAGTTTCTTCAGATAACATTTGTTTTAAAGAAAGCTGTAATACTTTCAAATGATCTTCTTTGTCGTAACTTTATAGTGTTTGTCTAATATGTTGTGAAATAATCAATTTAGTTGTTTTTCATGCTGATTTCTATTTTTTTAATACATCAGTATTTAACGTCAAGATTTCAAGAAAACTAGAGTATGCAGTGTTACAATAATTATTATGATATTTACAAAAGAAATGACACCAATTGGGTCATTTGTATGCTTCAGCCAAATGGACTTGAAAAATATTAAAAGAAATAACACTTTTCATTAGCACCTAATCACACCGTATTACCGGCGGCAGTGATGGCAGATCACTGCAGTGATGGCAGATATCTGAAAATTACCGATCGATACAGGTAGGTTATAAATTTGGTTGGTTTAGTTATATTACACAAATACGGCCCATTTCATTGCTATAAAACTATTGTCCATTGAATGGAGATACTGTAAGGTAATTTTGGACTCGTTTTTTCCTGTTTTCAGACTATTTTGAGCAGGTTAAAAGTGAAAGCCTTAGAAAAATCCGTGAAAATGTCTGTTTTCTGTTCAAAATATCTCAAGTTTTAAGTAAATGGCAGGATTTCCTGTTATCAATATAGACGTTCATCCATTGGGGTCACGCAAGCCAAATATCTACCCCGTGAGTCTTTTCTTGAAAGTTTTACAGACGCTCAATCTTGTCCGGTCGAAGAAAAAATGCTGCCGTTGTAGGCAGATACATATTATAAATGCTGCCGTCGATGGCAGAAATACCATGAAAGTGGCTAACATTCTGACAGAAAATCAAGTTCAATCTTTTATCAATTCCTCTTTTCTTTGCGTCCTTTTAGTCAGAATTGAGACGTTAAACTATCATTTCTAATATTTTCTCAAGATAGAAAAGTTTATTAACCCATTACCCCATGAGCATCTTGTGAAAAATGGCTGTTTTCATTGAAAGGTCTCCCGTTACAAGTTCAAGTTGCTATAAAACTATAAAAACTGCTTCAATACTAATCAAACTTGGCACAAATGTTGACTGGACCATTGCCTTTGTAACAACATGTTCAGTCTGAAATTTCCTGTTACCATAGCAACTAGGCGACATCTCAAAATTGCCAAAAATCACTATTTTGCGTTGATTTTTTCCATCAAAATTGATTTCAAAGTGCTGCCACTTCTCAATGGATTGAGATAGGGTCAAAGGCTTTTCAGCATTGGTTACACGTTACCTTATGATCGACCTGGGGCCATTTTTAGCCTCCCACAAGTCCAAAGTTTTCTTGGCGATGAGGGGGACTCAGCCCCCCTTCAAACCCCCCAAACAGAAGGGGGCACATCCCCCTTCTGGCAACCCCCTGATGTATCTTTTGGATGGGGGTGGGGGGCCGCGCCGAAAAAGTGGTCAATTTTTTAAACAACATTTATCAAACAAAAACAAGTGTTTGGGGGCCTAAATAAGGCATTTTTTCACCATTGGAGAAAGCAAAAAGGGAGGGTGTGAAAAAGGCGTAGAAAGGCGTATATATCTGGTAATGGGTTAACAGAAAATGATGTCATAAAATCTGTAATTTTTTATCAAAATTAATATATATTACATTTATTGTATAATAAACAATTATGCTTAACATGATCAACATGGTAATATAACCAGTGTCATATTTTTACTAAGTGTGAATAGATACTTTAAGAGGGGGTCTTCGCTAATAGCGATAACATAATAAGGGACAATTACACAAGTGTGGTGTTGATCATGCGTTGCACATATGGATTGTAAATGATTGTTTACATGTATATCCGTTGCTCGCCCAGATGGTCTCTTTCCAGTGGCGAGGGTAAACAAACGCAAACACACAAAATCCGTTGCTATTAATAACCACGGTCATAAAGAAATAACAAGTAATATTCTAATCTCTAGCATGCTAATCAAAGTTCATAATGAACAATGTCTTTCGTCCGCTCATTCATAAGTGATATACAGTTCTGGTAAAAACCATTGAAAAGATTATAAGAATATCTTGTCATCATATGTCTACTAGTTCATCTTCACTTGCTGCATTTCTTGCTTGGACGCCCTTTGATGCTTTGCATCAATGCTTTTCTTGTAACCTACCTGTACCGATCGGTAATTTTCAGATATCTGCCATCACTGCAGTGATCTGTCATCACTGCCGCCGGTAATACGGTGTGATTAGGTGATTCTGATTGTCTATACTGTATCCCAAGTCACGGATATTAAAATTATGTATTGAACGGCGCATGGTCACGACACGAGAATCTATCCCTTTTCTGTATGTTTGCATACATGTGCGTGTATCTTTTTTATACATGCCTATCAAATATATTTATATTGTTTACTGCGCTGTGTCTCTCCAATTTCCGTTTTCGAGGATGACAAGACTTTTTGCCGGCCAAAATTCATTATATGCGTACTGCATGTTATAGGTTTATTTATATTTTAAGTTTCTATATACGTTCTATAAAAAGGTCGTATCTACCATTTACGCCCCATGTTCACAGTAACATGAAATAAACTGCCTCAATATTAAAAGGACGTATCTGCCAGATAGGGCCTTATTGTATCTGCAAGACTGCAGTTACGACCTTATATGATTATGCTTCAGATCCAAAATGCACAAAACGACCTTTAATTATTGATGTTATCTGGCTTAAATATTATGTCTAGGGGGCTGGGGACGCCTGCAGGACAGGGCGGACCGTGAGACTAGGCGGACCATATATTGGGACAGGGCGGACCGTCACTCGAGACGAGGCTGACCGTAATTTAAAAAAGTATTTATATGTGGACTAATGTAATAAAAGTATTAAATTATTGATGTTTTTGTTCTTCGTTTTAATATTTCAATGCATATATAAAAGTAAAAATATAAAAATAAATTTTAAAAAGTTCATATGTAATTGAATATTAATTTGCTGAATGGACGATGTCACTCGAGACGAAAGTATTTAATTGTGGATGATTTTGGTATTCTTTATAATATTTCAATCTAAACCTTTCTATGTAACATATGAAACATATATATACTGAACCAAAAAAGGAAACTTTCGCAAAGTATCATGTGCCAGTTGTCAAGGGTACCACATAGATGTACACACTTGTATATACTGCATGTATGTAGTAGCTCGTAAAACTCGTTTTGTTTGCAAAATCGGTCAGCTAATCCCCGTATAAAAGCCCGAAATGTTTATTCAACGTAAAAATCGAGTTTCAAAAGGATTGAAAAACTGTACTAATTAACATATCTACATTCAAACTTGGAGAAAGTTTCTTATTTGTTTCAGTATATTAGAGTAGTTTAAAAAAAAATTCTCAAGAAATTATTTGTAACTGCGTCGACTTACGCAAGTGATAATTGACCAATTATCGGGATATAACAATGTTATTGTTTGTATAAGGCGCTAACGCTGCTGAAATTGATAAACTTTATTAAACAATTAGACACATAAAAAAACATATTTTGTTGTACAATACACGAAATAACAATGATAACGAATAACATCACATTAAAATTATTTGCAATTCAACACAATAACAAAAAAAATGAAGTGACATATTTGACAGACAAAACTATCTTACTAAAATTTACATAATAAGCACAGACACATGAAATAAAATGAACACTGAAATAGAATTTATTAAACAATAATTAAAAAAAGACACATCAAAGAACTTTTAAAACTCACTGTATTTTATATTTTTAATTGAATATTTGAATTGAAATATCAATACGAAGAACAAAAACATCAATAATTACATTAGTCCACATACTTTTTTAAATCACGGTCCGCCTCGTCTCGAGTGACGGTCCGCCCTGTCCAAAAATACGGTCCGCCTAGTCTCGAGTCACGGTCCGCCCTGTCTCACGGTCCGCCCTGTCCGTAATTCGCCCAATCATGGAGTTGTATGTATATCTGTGGCCCAATGTATATCCGCAGAAAGATGAAGCTTCTGAAAACATGCATTGGTACATCACACAATGTAAGGAGAGATAACGAGATGGAAACATGTATGATTATTGTAATTGAACAACTGACAGAACATCTCATTAAAGACAAAACAAGCCACATCGATCATTTTGAGTAACCAAGAATCTCCATATTAAGGTACGGAATTAGGTACGGAACGGATGGCTTTTATTCATTACAGATCATGTGATGTGAATAAAAATAGACAGTGTCACATGACTTGATCTTGTGACAGGATGCAAAATGGATGACCGAGGGAAATCAAATGTGAAAACGTTTTATTTCATTTGTAAGCAAATATTGCTGTTTTTCTCTCATTTATTCTTTATGGATACCCGCACAAATACTTCTTTCTTACCAATAGAAACCATCAGTTGCATCTAATAATAAAGAAAACCTGACAAAATAGTTTTAATATTATCATTTCATTCAACTAGCCTATTTCAGTATTTTGCTGATTTGCATCATTTGGCCTAATCTGCTAATTCTTTTAGTTAATGCTCCAGTGAACATTTATATATACAATGCATTTACCAAAGGGACTCGACACAGTGGTGTGATATTGTAAAAAAGTAATTCTAGAAGAAAAATATACTGGTTGGGGACCACCAAACCCGGACACCTCCAAAAATGTCTGATTTAGTTGTTTTCTTTGTTCAGTTGTTGTCGATCTATCAGTCACTTTTTTATCAACAATAAATGCATGTTTCTACTATAATTTAGTAATTTAACATATACTCAACATCACTAATTCCGCGTCATCACTTATTTCACGGTAATGGCATATTTTTATGTATACCAGTGTTAAAATTGGTCAGAATTGACATATTTTATTCAAACACCTAAACAACAAAGTTTTTGTGCAAAATATTTTAAATCTATAGATTTTTACGTGAAACAGAACAACATTTTAAAAAATTCTGCAAAAAGCAACAATAATCCGTTAAATTTGTGCATACGTCTGAAACAATCATCATTTTCTAAATGTTCTTGTTTGTTGAAAAACAACTAAACAAAGAAAACAACTAAAAAACCTTTTTGTCAACTTATCCCTACTATTGACAAACTTGGCACTAATTAATTGACTAAGGGACAAATTGACTGGAAATCCTAGGAATTAGATAATCAATAATTATATAGGACTTCAAAATATTGATAAGATTTGATATTACATTGTAACATATTATTTATGTTTTGTCTCTTTTTTTATCCAGGTTTGCTTATATGTTTTTGCCTTTGTGATGATGGCAAAGATCCTAAGAATGTATGTAAGCATGTTCCACAGAAGAAAATCAATACTGCCTTTCTGTCTGTGATAACACATGGCCACAATAGTCAAAATGTGACTGTCAACTTAAACACCATTACATCAGAATGTTATACTGTAAGTTTTATTGAATGTCATATTCGCTGTTACAGAATATTCTGTAACATCCATCAGAGTTATCTTTAACATACATTGTGTATTTACTGAGATTTATATTATGAAATCTATGTCTGTGATACTAAGAACTAGCTTAATTAGTGTACAACATTTTTTTCTAATTTTGTAATATCTTTTCTAATAATGTAACTGAAGTTTGAACATTATTTTGCAAAATTAAGTATGTTTGTTTGTTATTCTTCTTGTGTCAAACCCCTGTTTTTGGAACCTAGAGATAGCGCTGTTTAGTTCCTGCAGATGACTGCATATAGGGTTTCCTAATCAGTTATTGCATCGGTGTTGATTTGAGGGAGCCTAAAGAGAATCGATCCTCTGGCCGGATTTGAACCCATGACCTCTGGATAAGGATTTTGTTCTACCCCTACATCCATCTTGCTCTACCAATATGTTAAGATGCATTTGTATACAAAGTGATCATCTATATAAAATTTCTTATTTCATTGATGAAAGAAGATCTGGTCCTATTCAACTATTGATTTGAAAAGTAAAAAGGATAATATTTAAACAAGTGTTATGGTCAAAGATTATTTCTTATGTATGGCAATATATGTATGAAAGCAAATGTCTTTAAGAAGAGCCAGACTCATTGGGTGACAGGTCATGTCCAGTTTCCTTTTCAGACCCTATAAGATCAAATGATTGCTATTGCTACTAAACCAATCGTATTGATTTTGATAACCTTGGAAACATCTTTTTCATACAGTGTGATCTACAACTGACAGCTCTGATAGATACACATCATAACATGTGTACTGTTCTTGTTGATACACGGTGGAAAATGAAAGTCAGCATCAGTTCTAAACATAAAAACGTCAATGTATCGTCTAGCTGTGGGTTAGTATGATTTCCCTCTTCATTGAAATATCATATTAGTAAACAATTTCAAAACATTTACTTAACAATATGTTATAATTTCAATGAAATTTCTTTTGAATTTTAATTTTAAAGGAAAAGTAAAATGTTGTTTGTAGATAATGAGATTGCTCTTGAATTTTTGAAGACCACATGGTTTTCAAACAATTTTTCATAGATTTATTAAGTACCAAATGATGTCTGTTCTTATTTGTTTAGGGTTTGTTTATAAACAGTCATGAACAACTGTCATTGATCAAGCTTTGGACACATTCATTTGTATTTCTGTGGAAAAATGATGTTCAGTAATAGCTAAACAAATATATTCATATTTGAAACATTTTACTATATTTGAATGACCCTATAGCTCTTTATAGTCAGACAGATGATAATCTTATGAGTTAGAAAAACACCAGTAAGACATTTTTTATGTTTTATAAAAAATAATTCTGTGAATGTGATAACTTGGTTGCTATTTTTAGCTCACCTGTCACAAAGTGACAGGGTGAGCTTTTGTGATCGCTTTTCGTCCGGCGTCCGTCATCCGTCCGGCGTCCGTCCGTAAACTTTTACTTTAAATGACATCTCCTCATAAACCACTAAGCCAATTTCATCCAAACTTCACAGGAATGTTCCTTTGGTGGTCACCTTTAAAAATTGTTCAAAGAATTTAATTCCATGCAGAACTCTGGTTGCCATGGCAACCGAAAGAAAAAACTTAAAATATCTTCTCTTAAAAAAACCCAAGAGCTAGAGCTTAGATATTTGGCATGAAACATCTTCTAATGAGTGTCTACCAAGTTTGTTCAAATAAAAGCCCTGGGGTCAAAATTGGCCCCGCCCCAGGGGGTCTTTGATTTTCCCTATATGCATATAGTAAAAACTTAAAATATCTTCTTTTAAAGAACCCAAAGAGCTAGAGCTAAGATATTTAGCATGAAACATCTTCTAGTGAGTGTCTACCAAGTTTGTTCAAATAAAAGCCCTGGGGTCAAAATTGGCCCCGCCCCAGGGGGTCTTTGATTTTCCCTATATGCATATAGTAAAAACTTAAAATATCTTCTTTTAAAGAACCCAAAGAGCTAGAGCTAAGATATTTAGCATGAAACATCTTCTAGTGAGTGTCTACCAAGTTTGTTCAAATAAAAGCCCTGGGGTCAAAATTGGCCCCGCCCCAGGGGGTCTTTGATTTTCCCTATATGCATATAGTAAAAACTTAAAAAATCTTCTTTTAAAGAACCCAAAGAGCTAGAGCTAAGATATTTAGCATGAAACATCTTCTAATGAGTGTCTACCAAGTTTGTTCAAATAAAAGCCCTGGGGTCAAAATTGGCCCCGCCCCAGGGGGTCATTGATTTTCCCTATATGCATATAGTAAAAACTTAAAAATCTTCTTTGAAAAAACCCAAATAGCTAGAGTTAAGATATTAAGCATGAAACATCTTCTAGTGAGTGTCTACCAAGTTTGTTCAAATAAAAGCCCTTGGGTCAAAATTGGCCCCGCCCCAGGGGGTCTTTGATTTCCCCATATGCATATAGTAAAAACTTAAAAATCTTCTTTGAAAAAACCCAAATAGCTAGAGTTTAGATATTAAGCATGAAACATCTTCTAATGAGTGTCTACAAAGTTTGTTCAAATAAAAGCCCTGGGGTCAAAATTGGCCCCGCCCCAGGGGGTCATTGATTTTCCCTATATGCATATAGTAAAAACTTAAAAAATCTTCTTTTAAAGAACTCAAAGAGCTAGAGCTAAGATATTTAGCATGAAACATGTTCTAATTGGTGTCTACCAAGTTTGTTCAAATAAAAGCCCTGGGGTCAAAATTGGCCCCGCCCCGGGGGTCATTGATTTTCCTTATATGTATATAGCAAAAACTTAAAAAATCTTCTTTGAAAAAACCCAAATAGCTGGAGTTTAGATATTAAGCATGAAACATCTTCTAGTGAGTGTCTACAAAGTTTGTTCAAATAAAAGCCCTGGAGTCAAAATTGGCCCCGCCCCGGGTGTTATTGATTTTCCTTATATTTGTATAGCAAAAACTTAAAAATCTTCTTTGAAAAAACCCAAATAGCTAGAGTTTAGATATTAAGCATGAAACATCTTCTAGTAATTGTCTACAAAGTTTGTTCAAATAAAAGCCCTGGGGTCAAAATTGGCCCCGCCCCAGGGGTGTCATTGGTTTTAACTATATGTGTATAGTAAAAACTTAAAAAATCTTCTTTTAAAAAAACCCAATGAGCTAGAGCTTAGATGTTTAGCATGAAACATCTTCTTATGGGTGTCTACCAAGTTTGTTCAAATAAAAGCCCTTGGGTTAAAATTGGCCCTGCCAAGGAGGGGGGTGGGCGGAAGGAGGGGGGTAGATTGTTGCTTTTCATTATATGTGTGTAGTAAAAACTTAACATCGTGAAACATCTTCTAATGGGTGTCTTCCAAGTTTGTTCAAATAAAAGGCCCTGGGGTTTAAACTGGCCCCGCTCCGGGTGCCTTTATACAGGTGAGCGACTTCAGGGCCATTATGGCCCTCTTGTTTATTTACATGTTTACAAATATTATTTATGATATTATGTATATTACATTTTAGTGTGGATCGTTTAAGTAATTGGTTTATAGAAGGTGGAAACTACAGTATAATTGTCATGATTGATGGTTTGAAGGTACAATGTGACAAACTTGTTAGACAAAATGATCCTTGGGATAGTAATATACGTAAGTCTTCATTTCTTTATTTGAGTACTCACTCACTGTAGGATAGAAGATTTGTTTTTAACTATTTAGAATATTTCAAATGATACTTTGTTACCTTTGATAAACAGAGATAATCAGGTAGAAATTTTATACATGCTCATAAGATATAAATATATCATCCTTTCATATTAATGATCATTCTTGCATAAAAACTGTGCATGCCCAGGTATACATTAACGGAGAAAAAAGCATGCATTAATGTATAAAAAATTGTGAGCATGCAAAGGTGTTGCCTGATTTTGAATATGCATGACTCAGGGCATCATGTGAAATAGCTTAAAATGCAGTGATTGTCCTGGTAGATTCATTTTCAAAACATAACTGACTAGCACATGAAAACCACAAGCAAAACTGGTTCTTTGTACAAAATACTGAGGAAACACAATTTTTGTGCATTACTGCAGAAACCCTTAGATTTGTGGGTTAGTTTGATTTCATGCCATAAGGAATGTCACACTTTCATGTTAGTTAATAAACTACTTTAAACATGTAACATTGATATTTAAAACAACCTATCTGTGTAGTTATGGATAAATAAATTATCTATTTTCAGCTATTTATGTTGCCATAGGATCATTTGTTGGTTTGATTCTACTGTGGTGGTTTCTGAAATATTTGTACAGGTAATTTAGTCATTTCATTTCATATATTTTGATATTGACATATGACCTATAAGATATTGGAATTTTTTGGTCAGATCATGAAAATAGTTGAAAAACAGTTTAAAACAGTTTATTATCCCCCGCCGAAAAGGCGGCGGGGGATATAGTAATAGTCTCCGTCCGTCCGACCTTCCATCCGTCCTTCCGTCCGACATTTTTGTCCGGAGCATATCTCTAAATGTATTTGAGTTATCAACTTGAAACTTCATAGGTGGATAGACCTCATTGAGGAGGAGTGCAGTGCACAAGAATGATAACTCTACCCTGCATAATTTTTGAGTTATTGCCCTTTGTTATTTTTCAAAATTGATTTTTGTCCGGAGCATATCTCTAAATGTATTTGAGTTATCAACTTGAAACTTCATAGGTGGATAGACCTCATTGAGGAGGAGTGCAGTGCACAAGAATGATAACTCTACCCTGCATAATTTTTGAGTTATTGCCCTTTGTTATTTTTCAAAATTGATTTTTGTCCAGAGCCTATGAGATATCAACATGAAACTTCATAGGTGCATAGATCTCACTTAGGAGGTGTGCAGTGCACAAGAATGATAACTCTACCTTTCATAATTTTTGAGTTATTGCCCTTTGTTATTTTTCATACTTAATTATTCACCTGAGTGGAGCATAACTCAAAAAGTGTTTGAGATATCAACATGAAATGTCATAGGTGGATAGATATTATTGAGGAGGAATGCTGTGCACAAGAATGATAACTCTTCCCTATACAATTTTTGAGTTATTCCTCTTTGTTCTTTTTCATAATATTTTGTCCGGAGCTTATCTCAAAAAGTATTTGAGGTATCAACTTGAAACTTCATAGCTGGATGGATCTCATTGAGGAGGAGTGCAGTGCACAAGAACGATAACTCTACCCTGCATAATTGTTTAGTTATTGCCCTTTGTTTTTTTTCAAAATTAATTTTTGTCCAGAGCATACTGTATAAGTGGTTTTTTCTGCGGGCTCCAAATTCTGCGGTTTTTCCAAATTTTGGCATGTTTTAATTTCTGCGGACTTTATTTCTGCGGCACATTCTTTGGACAAAACATGATTTAAATTCTGCGACTCAACTTATCAAAGTATAAGTCACATTACTCTATCTATTATATTTACATATATACGTTCGCATTTGTTTATCGTCGTCACCGCAAAACTGTATAGTAATTACAAACAATTATATTGTTTGCTTGCAAACAAATATAATGCGCAACAATAGAAAGGTATACATCTTTGATCAGCGTGAAGTAACGTGTGAAAAATATACCCCTGTAGTATGATCTTTAATTTAATAAAATTGATACAAGTTTACCTATCGTATTAGATGACATTATAAGTAAACAACGATTATTTAGCAGTATAAGGGTTGGAATGGTTTGAAATATCTTTATTCTTAAATTGGCATAATTAACAATAAGTACATCCTTACAAACACACATTACATACTTAGCCGTCTACAATTTTATAAACCCGCTAACCGTTATAATCTGTTTGTCGTTATAACTTTAGAGGAAACAGGTCACAATGTAGGATACATATCGTAGCAGGTTAGAGAAATATTCTGCGGTTTTAATTTCTGCGGTGCCGAAACTGACCGCAGAAAACGCAGAAATAAAGTCACCGCAGAAAAAAACACTTATAGGGTAACTCAAAAGGCCTTTGAGATATCATTATGAAACTTCATAGGTGCATAGATCTAACTCAGGAGGTTTGCAGTGCACAAGAATGATAACTCTACCTTTTATAATTTTTGAGTTATTGCCCTTTGTTATTTTTCATACTTAATTTTTCAATTCAATTTTTTTCTTAAAAGTATTTGAGGTGTCAACTTGAAACTTCATAGGTGGATAGATTTTACTGAGGAGGGATGCAGCACACAAGAATGATAACCTACCCTGCATTATTTTTCAGTAATTGCCCTTTGTTATTTTCAGTCATCAGTATTCACATAGGTTTCAAATCTGTAATCACTATAGCCATCAGTTTTCATTACCAAAAGACCTTAAAATGGAGTTATTCTGCTCTACTACATATACATTCTTCCAATGAGCAAACACATTCGGCGGGGGATGGCCATGTTGAAATGGCTCTTGTTTATTTAGATTTCTACTTTGTATATAAGAGTAAATGTAATAATGGGCATGTAACTGTATATGTTGTGTTTTGAACTACCTCTGACAAATAATTTCCGTGAGGAAGGCTGGAAAGTCGACAATATGACCTTTACATTGTTGGTCTGACTTAAAACTTAATCAAGAAAAAAAAAGCCTGGATTTTGTCTGTAATATTCCCTTTATTTAACATAGACAATTCCTTTAAATGTTTTATCTTACTGTTTGAAACTCTTTGTTAATTGTGTGTTATTAATATTTTAATGTATTTGAATGTTATGTTTTATGTAATTTCCAGGACCCATTTGTTACGGAGGCTCCAGTCATATTTCCGATCAGATAATGCTGCATTTATTGATCCTGTAAGTACTTCCCATTCTGTAATGGATTGTTTTCTATATTAGTATATTTATGTAGTCAAGCATGTGCTAAAGATTACCTTTTAATAAAAGCTGGATTCTGAAAACCAGTAGTAAGACCAGTAGTCAATATTCACTTTTCATCAATTTTGTGTACAGTAACTTGCAGTGAAAGACTATTTGAGCCGCGTCACGACAAAACCAACATAATGGGTTTGCGACCTATTATGTTGGTTTTGTCGTGACTTTGCTCATTTGTATTCAAAGACCATTTGCATATTGTATAAGATTAATCTTTGAAGACAAATACAGCTGTATCCCATTTCCATGACAACATAAACGTAACATATTCTTCAAGCTACAAATAATTTCTCAAATCATTTACGCGCACATATTCTAATCCTTCGCACTATTTGGTTTTCCTTAATAAATGTGATTGACCTATTTAGATTTGTAAGCATAACATTGTTTAAACTTGAACAAAAGACCACCTCTAATATAAGACAATAATTAGAGTACCTGCCGTTAAGAGCAAGCAGTATTGTTTCTAATTGATAAATTATAGTTGAAGGTTACTTGTTTTGGGAGGTCATTTGTTGTTGGACAGTAAAATCTCTTAACGTCTTATCTAGGTTTTTGAGTTTAACCTTTTCAAATGACCTGAACTTTTTCTCTGTGGCTAGGTTGCTAAAGGGAATGCAATCAAGGGAGATTTTGATGCTATTAAGGAAATTGAAAAGCCCATCTCCCTAACTAAAGGGTATAATCTGCGTAGAAGAAAAAATGCAAAATCAATATTGGTTCCATCAAAGGTATAATGGTGTATTTGTTTACTTTCTGTTTTTAACACCTTGACTGGTCAGAGAAACACAGGTAACATCCATATTAGCTTATTGGCTTGCTGGGAAAACCCCTCCTTATTACAATACCAAATTTATAGGAACCAATGATTGCTATGGATTTTTACTATGATGTTATTTGAAAACAACACGATTGTTTTAAGAGAGTAAAGGACTAAAGGTTACTGGTGCAGAAATGAGCTTTTTTGGGGGTTTGAGTTCAAATGTGAACTATTATATAATCTGCATGCAATTTTAATATTCACCTTCATTGTATGTTACCTTACCCACTTAGTATGCCTCATACTATTAATATATAACCCTACACATTACCTAGATATTGCATGTTTTTTTCATGTATATTTTTTAGTTTTGTTTTAATCATGCTTCTCTTAATATATTCGTGGTCGAGGGGTTAGAGTCGATGACTTCTAATCCAGTTACCTCTCTGGCGTGGGTTCGATCCCCGGAGGAAGGTAGTCTAGTACTGGTGTAACTCTCCAGGAACGATGGTTAGGAAACTACCCGCCTATATGACTGAAATACTGTTGGGAAAAGGCGTAAAATGAAACAAACAAATCTTAATATATTTTCAAAAATCTCTTCTATATTTTAACCTCACAGCTACCCTTAATTATTTTCACAACATTTACTTTTGCTTATTTGATAATGTAACATTGTCATTTGAACATATACTTCTTCGTTTATGATTATCATTAAGTCATTAAATGATTGCTTGCTAGGGGCTGGTTATCATTTATAATGTATTCTGACACTTTGATTCAGAATGATTATGCGGAGCAAGATCTTGGAGTGCCAACTAACACATCAGAAGAAGATGCTTTAAGACCAAGAAAAGAGAGACTAAAATCACTGGATACTTTCAGAGGGTAAATCTTCATTTATCACATACTGGTACTCCAGCCACTTTTTTGGCTCCGTAAATTGCCAATTTTCCAACTCCATAAAAATATATAGAGGATATTTGTTTGTTTCAGTGTAAGATCGAAAAATATTTCACCGAGTGAACACCAGATGCAATATTTTCCACGAGTGGCGTAGCCACGAGTGAAAATATAATAGCTGGGGTTCACGAGTGAAATATTATTTGATCTCACATGTAAAACAAACAAATTTTCTGTTTATTTCATGATTTTTTAACGATTTTTACACCATTTTACTGATTTTTGCCGCGTAACGTCATGCTCTTATCTTCATGACGTCATCAAATAATGACGTCACAATGTTGAAGCAAAATATAATTCCATGATTATTTTTAGATTTTAGATGTTTTTCAGCACAACGTTCTTAAATATTTACGAACTACAGTTATCACGTACATTTTTTATTATGATTGACTACATTTCCACTGAAAAAACATTCATTAATGATAAATATTTTATTTTTACGCCAAATATAGTTCGGCTACTGTGAAATTATATTTGGTAATCATTACTGTGAAATTATCAGAATATAATTAACCGTTATAATTCAGTAATCTACTGCAAAACATGTAATAAATTGCAAATATTTTGACATGACAATATTATTTGATTTAAACAAATATAGTGTAAAAGCTTAACTGTAAGTGTGTAAGTTGCTGTAAACAGTTCTTATTTTGGATATGTAATAAATAGATTATGAAAGTATGTATGTAGCTCCATAACTAAATTCATTGAACAGACACTCATTAAATATCTTGATTTATGCCTCTGTGTTTCAACCCTAAATTTTAATTATTGTTTTATGGTGAAATATACAAAGGAAATTATCCAAAATTAGTAAGAATCAATTAAAATAAAGTTGAAAGGTAGAATGAAATTTTATTAGGTGCTGGTGGTATGCTGAAAAGACTGATTTTGTTGGAATATAACTGTACACCAAACCAGATGCCAGACCAGGGTCTGCAAAATCTGATATTGACTGACTTGTCCATTTTTATCGAAATCATTTGTTAACGAGTCTGTATGATATTTATATAGTAAATTCCTGAAAAAATTTCACTTGTCTGCACAGGCTGTTGGACAATTTAGGTATTTTGGATAATGGATTTTACCACCCCTGCAGACAATTTTATTTTTTACTAGAGAAAGAAAGTATTAGAGCAGAGTTAAAGGAAACACTGTTGATAGGTTAATCACATAAATATTATCAGTTTAGGTAGGTCTAATAAGGTTATGATTTTACAGGATCTCTATAGTGCTCATGATATTTGTGAACTATAGAGGTGGCGACTACTGGTTCTTTAGACATTCTAAATGGAACGGCCTCACTGTGGCCGACATCGTATTTCCATGGTGAGTATGAGCCAAGATACATACAAACTGTTACAAGATTCTCATAGTCTAAATTATCACAGGCATGTTACATACATAAAACAGAAATAATGGAAACATTGAACAGTTTATCATCATGTTACATTTTCTTGAGTCACATGTTCACAATTTCTGAGACCTAATTAATCAAGTTGCCAAAACTGAATGTATATATCACTACATGTTTATCACTAGACTATGTGTGAAGAATTGTAACAAGTTTTTATGTTTGTTGTTGGCTCCTGCATGCTTATAATAAATAGGACTAATAATAGTTCTTGGGGGTTGTTTGCTTTAACTGTGTTATATGTATGCTTATAACTAATGTTGTAAGCTATCAGCATTAATGATTCTGCAAAAAGAATAAAAGAACAAAATTATTTGTTGTTATTAAAATATTAAAACTGATTAACTCCAGTAGATATTTTTCATTTAGAAAAAAATAGTACTCTTTTTCAGTATCAGTTGTTCAGTTTATAGATAGATCTACAACTTTTATGAAATTAAAAGAGAGGAAACACAATTGTGATGCAAAAAGAAACTCTTTCATCTTTTTAGTATAGATTTTTGCAGAATCATGATACAAAAGGTAGCATGTCATTGACTGTGAATTATTTTCTATATCTTGCATGTTTCTGTTTTTCATTCTAACTTGTAGATTAAGTTTGGTGATAATGTGTTTTGTGAATTATGGTGGCGGTCAATATTGGTTCTTTGATCACTCAGACTGGAATGGAATTACAGTAGCTGACTTGGTTATGCCCTGGTACCATAGCTTACCCTGTAAACTACTCCTTGTATTATAGCTTTAAACTTAACCTTCAGTCCTGTAATACAGCTTTAATATACATGTGTATGTTATCACATGCAAATACAATCTGATTTATCTTCACTTTTGAAAAGTCATAGGTTCCACCATGTGACAGTCTGTATCTAATGAATACATAGAAAGATACTAGTGTCTTTCTGCACATATGTACAGGTGAGGGTTAGAAAGTTAATGATATTTTAAGTGATGAAATGATATAAGACTTAAAAATAAGAAATTTCACCTATATTAAAGAATATTGAAAATAACATTTAAGTTTCTTCGTTTGTTTGAATGCGACAACCTAATAAGTTCTATAGTATGAAATATATGTAGTCTTTTCTGTGGTTGTTTTAAGTATTTAGCATATTAAACACCTTTCCCAGCATGCTCACTTTTTCCAAGTAGTTATGATTAAGCATTATATTTACTCTGACTCCAATGTTTTGTTAGATTTAAGCTCAGCTTCAAACATACATTTGTATATACATGTATTACATAAAAGTGCACTAGTTCATCAGCACTTGTGAGATATATAAAAAAAATTCATATGCTCTTTATTTAAGAAATTTCTTAATCTTTTTGCAGTTGCTTATTAACTTTAGTTAAAAAAAATAAATTCATAAAATATTGCTTGTTTCAAAGCAGTCACATGTTTGAAATTGTACACAACTGACACATGTTTGTATTTATATAAAAAAAAAATCAATTTCTAGTCAGAACTTTTAATTTATTATTCATATTGTTCTTAAATTTATTGTTGTTCTTTTTCTTATAAACTTGATATTTTATTTCATTTGTTGACACAATACATTTCATGTGATCATTTTTCTAGTGTAAATGTTTTATAATAACACCATTATTTACAACAGGTTTGTTTGGATTATGGGGACTGCCATGGCTTACTCCTTTCACTCCCAGCTTCGTAGATCTACACCAAAAACAAGAATGTTCTGGAAAATATTTAAAAGGTCCTGCATTTTGTTTCTTCTTGGGTTGCTGATCAATTCTTCTGATGGACTTAACCGTAAGAATTTTATTTTTGTCATTGTTTATTTTTAACAGTTACCTGTTAATTAATTAATTCAGTTACTTGCAAAGTATCTTAACTAAAAATCTGAATAGTTGATTAATAATTGTTTTGACTTGGTTTGAAGTACAAGGTGTATCATTATAGTAATGAACCCGCAAACTCATAACAATTTAAATAATAATATAATAAGTAAATTATAGTTGAAATTGCTGTTATTCTTATTGAAGTTAATCATGCATCGTCATTTTGCTTCACTTCACTTCATGTCTGATATCAAATTAGGATATTTTAAATAGGCTTGGTTCTTATGATAATTTGATATAATAAGAAAATTAGGATAAGAAAAAAATTTCAATGTATTTGCCATTTTTCATAACATTGGTATTTTTCAGCTGTAAGAATGCGAGAGTTCAGAATACCAGGTGTTCTACAGAGATTTGCTGGTACCTATCTTATTGTAGCTACACTTCATATGTTCTTTGCTAAACCAAATGATCCAAATCAGGTAATAACATTACTTAATCCTTTAAATGCTTTACCTAAGGCAGTGGGTATAGACTTGGCATTGTCTGTCTATTTGTCTGTCTGATGTCCATCTATCTGTCTCACACAGGAGCACAAAGCTATTTCACCTTTAAACCTAATACTTAATATGTGGTTACATCTCAATGAGAAGAAGTGTATGAGAAAAAAAATAGAACTATCTTTTGCAAAACTTTCGAGTTAATGCCCTTTGAAATTTTTCATGCGTAATATTTGTTAGGGGCATAACTCAAGCTGTAATGAAGATAAAAATTTCAAACTTAAAAAATTGAGAATTAAATCTATAACTCTCACTGGTTTAATTTTGGAGCTATTCTCCTTTGCTATTCTTCACACATAATTTTTGTCAAGAACATAATAAATGAAAATTACAGTGTATGTAAAATAACAATTAAAACCTTCACAGATATATGTCACTCCATGTATTGGTTCAGCACACAAACCTGTATCAAAATATTATCACCTTTTGTTTGCCAGTGTCCTTCACAAGGTTCTATTATTGGTTTGGGTATATGTCTGATTAAGTTTTTTTTAAACACAATTAGAATAGCAGATGATGTAATAAGCTTTTAGAGGGCTTTCTTGATATAAACTTGGTTGGCACAAAAAAGTCACTAAGATAATAAAAGTTAAAAGATTGATAATAATTATGAAGTTGTATTTATTTATCTCTTTAATTTAGTACACATGGTGGAGCCCTATTCGAGACATCACTGACTACTGGTTTGAATGGTTGTTCAACATTATACTGGTTACAATATGGTTGGCAATCACCTTTGGTCTACCTGTACCTGGGTGTCCTAGGTTAGTCAGAAATTTTTTATGTGGCTCAGAGTGGTTTTATTCAACAGTAAATCTATTTAGATGAATGTGTTTTTCCTTTATCTCATTTTCAGCCCCCAAACTGACAAAACTTTAATTTCTCAGCAATAAAGAATTTGATATGGAAGTAAAATACCACTTTGTTACGTTTAAAAAAACTTTTTATGTTTTTAAAAAACTTTAATTTCTCAGCGATAAAGTATTTTATATGAAAGTAAATTATCACTTTGTTACGTTTTAAAAAACTTTAATTTCTCAGCCATGAAGTACCGGTATTTGATATGGAAGTAAAATACCACTTTGCTACGTTTTAACATTCAAAGCAGCTTACTTTCTGCAATTTACAGCTAATGTGTTTTAAGTCTATTGTCAAAATATTAGTAAATACAGATTTGCTTCTTCTGAGGAAGAACAGATAAAAAAATTAGTCATAATGTGCTGTTTAAACCTTTCATTTATTTATGAGTAGGTTATCTTCCCACTTAAAATGTTGGGAATAACATTTTGTTGACATTTTTATGCCCCCGGGCATATAGTGATTGAACCGTCCGTCCGTCTGTCTGTCCGTACGAGGTTAAGTTGGATTTTGTCTTAAGTTCTACCTGTACCAATGGCTTCTAAGTTTACACACTTACTAATCAATACAAAGTACATGATCTGGGCAAGTTACATAACTCTGGCTTTCATATTTACCAAGTTATTGCCCTTTTCAGCACTTAGAAAATGAATAATGGTTAACCTAAAACGGCAAGTTGGAAATATCTTAAGTTCTATCTATACTAATGGCTTTATAATTTCCACACTTACTTATCAATATAAAGTACATGATATTGCCAAGTTATATAACTGTGTCATCCATATTTCCAAGTTATTTCACTTTGAAAATAGGGCCTTGTCTGGTTAACCTATTTCTGCAAGTTGGATTTATCTTAAATTTCTCCGAATTGCTTAATTTCTTTAATGATATCTTTCATATTTAGTAGGTGGATACCTTTGATGGTCCTCTAATTTTTTGTGGAGTAAGCGGTCTCTAGGGTCAAGGTCACTGGTTTAAAAAATAAATATAAACATTTTTGCTCATACAGCCTTTATTTTTTAGTTGATGACTTAGTTTAATACAAACATGCCAAGGGAGGTCCTCCTTCTTTAGTAGTAAGGGGTCATTTGGGTCAAGGTCAGTGTTACCAATGTCAAGGTCACCAATGTTAAAAACAGATTTTTACATTTATTAAGTGACAGATATATTTTATATTTGGTAGGAAGATAACTTGCATGGTATTATTCCTTTTGGGTCACTTGTGCTAAAAATAGATTTTTACACTTTTGCCCATACAGCTTTTATTTATTGACAGATGTATTTCATATTTAGTAGGAAGATAACTTGCATGGTATTCTTCCTTTGGATGGAGTAAGGGGTCAGTTGGGTCAAGGTCACCAGTGCTAAAAATAGATTTTTACACTTTTGCCCATACAGCCTTTATTTATTGACAGATGTATTTCATATTTGGGAGGAAGATAACTTGCATGGTATTCTTCTTTTGGATAGAGTTAGGGGTCAGTTTGGTCAAGGTCACCAGTGCTTAAACTAGATTTTTACACTTTTGCCCATACAGCCTTTATTTAATGACAGATGTATTTCATATTTGGTAGGAAGATAACTTGCATGAAGTTGAATATTTTTCAACTTCACAAGTCAGAGCAATGACTTGGCAACTTATATTTTTCACAATTACAAAATGCCATGACTTTGTCCAGCTATATAACTTGTGTTTACAATTTTTTGGCAATTTTTCTGTCCATAACTTAGTGAATGGGTAAACAATTTAAAACATATTGCTACTGACAAGAATCTGAGCCGGGGGCATTTGTGTTTAACAAACACGTTCTTGTTTCTATATCCTTCCATCTATACAATCATAGTGTAAGATTTGTCCAAAATACGAGTTAGAGAGAAAACATTAACTCAAAAAGTCCTGATGAAGAGTAAATTTTGAGTTGACAATTACAGGGGGTATTTAGGCCCAGGTGGTCTAGCTAATGATGGAGATGGTAAGAATGTTTCATTGTGCACTGGTGGCGCAGCATCGTACATTGACAGGACAATTTTCGGCGAAGGCAGAATATATCAATCACCAACTTGCAAGGTAATTGTGTCTATTTATAACCTGCCACATTCTGGAAACTTCAAGTTCATTGATTGAAAGAAAGCAAATTTAATTCCAACAAAAGGTTTATGCTGCATGGGACAATATGATCTTGAAATTGTCACTCCTCAAATGGATGGTGAGAAGTTAGTTGTATATATAGGCTCATTTTCACTACTACAACATAAATGTAACAACTACATGATTTCTTTATTTTGTTAAAACCTGTAAAGAAGCAATTTCATTGTTTATATGATTAATCGTAATACCTAGATTTAGAGTAAAATTTGTATGGGCTTTAGTGATTAACAGTCAAATGTGTGTCTCAAGGTAATTGCAGGAAAAGATGTAGAAAAATGTTCACAATTCTACTTGTAACAAGCAATTATCATAGTATTGCAAGCAATCCATAAGTCCCCTACCGGTAAGAGCCCAAGCAACATTCTGAAGGGCCATTGGCCATTCACTTATGTTCCTATTTTAAGTAAATTTGTTGAAAATGTTTTTTAAAAGTGATCACAGGAAACAGTTTTTATGTACAGACAGACGGACTGAGGGACACTCAAAAGTTATTTTTTAAACATCCCTGTTATCAAAATATAACATTTTTAAAATCCTATCATGATTGAAGAAGTTGGAGTAAAAATTACCAATTTCTCAAAAAAAAGTCTAAGTTCAAAAGGGGCATAATTCTGGAAATAGTCTTGCTAGAGTATTGAACACTCACAAATGTTGAGTGATAATAAGAAACATTTATATGAAGTTTGAAGTAGATACATTCAGAAAAAGAAGTTGTTCAAAAAAAAAAATGTTTTTTTCATGAAAATTTTAAGTTCAAGGGAGGTAATTCTGATAAATTTTGTGCTAGAGTTGTAAACCTTGTCACATATGATGTGGTTGATGACAAGCAACTTATATTTAAAGTTTGAAGAAAATACCTTAAGAAATAAAGAACTTATAGTGAAAAAACTTAAAAACTAGAATCAGAAATCTTGAAATTAAGTCTATTTGTTGCCATAGCAACCAGAATTTTCAACATAGGAAGATAAGAAAAGGATGTGCATAATTTCCATACTGCCATCTACCCATATGTCAAGTTTCATAAACATATTTTCAGTACTTTTTGTGTTATCACTGGATCCAGGTTATGTGTAAAATTTGCCATATTTTCAGTCTATTTGTTGCCATAGCAACCAGAATTTTCAACATAGGAAGAAAAGAAAAAGACGTGCATAATCTCCATACTGCCATCTATCCATATATCAAGTTTCATAAAAATATTTTCAGTACTTTTTGCGTTTATCCCGGGATCCAGGTTATGTGTAAAATTTGCCATATTTTCAGTCTATTTGTTGCCATAGCAACCAGAATTTTCAACATAGGAAGAAAAGAAAATGACGTGCATAATCTCCATACTGCCATCTATCCATATATCAAGTTTCATTAAAATATTTTCAGTACTTTTTGCGTTATCGCGGGATCCAGTTTTGTGGACAGACGGACGGAGGGTAAACCTAAAGTCCCCTCCGGTAAACCGGACTAATAATCATATCTTATATACCAAAATCTGAAATGCATGAACATTTTAAGATTTGTAAGCAAAACCCAGAAAATATTTTGAAAACAAAGCCAAGGTGCTGCATTTTTTGTGATAAAAAATTGTTAATGGAATGATTTTATAATGTTTGAAAACTTGTTTTCAGGAAATATACCACTCAACAGTACCACATGATCCAGAGGGACTTCTTGGCATACTCACTTCCTGTTTTATGTGCTTTCTAGGTCTGCAGGTAAATAAAGTTGCTATAATAATAAAGTCAAGTAAATTTACAAAATATCCTTGGTGAAAATGATTCATATATTTATATACTTACTTCAATTTGTTCTTGTTACCATGATATTGCAAATGTAAAATGTAACTTCCAGATGTGTTGTTGTTGTATATAAGAATTGGATGGGGTTTCACATGTCCATGAAAATATATACTATATCTAATTTATATACATGTGTATTAAGTAGAGCTGATCTACAAAACTCTCTAAATATTTAAAGTTTATGGAAGTTATGAAAACTTCCTTTATCTTAAAACCATAAAATGAAATTCTTATATAGATCAACTGATGCACTTAAAAGGAACAATATGCATAAAGTAATACAGAAATATACTTGGAAAGTAAATTGAAAATTATTCACTGTTATTCTTAACCCAATTTGAGGTAGAAAAAATCTGTATAAAGTTCCCTCGGAAGCATTTATCACTTCATTTTTGGGTCATTTTGCACTATAAAAATGATCATTTCGGAATATTAGTGCACACAAGTTATTAGCCAATACCCAAATCAAATTAACGGTACACAAATCTAAAATAAAGACGTCCAGTCCCTTATTAAATGTCTATAAAACTTAAGTGGATTTCTATTTATGTTGCTGTGAATTACTTCTGGTTATATATTTTATCATTTAAATTTAAAAAATTTAATATTGTGGTTTAATTTATTGACAGTTTTTAGTAATTTCATGCATTTTTGTATTTTTCAGCCTGTGAGGCAACATTTTGTTGAGCATTTTTGTATTCTTATACTTTGTCATGTATTTTACAGGCAGGCAAAATTTTACGTACATTTCCTGATTGGAAGGCTAGAGTCAAGAGATTTATAATATGGGGAATTATTTTAGTAAGTACAACTAAACATGTATATTTGTCCTACTGCACAATGCCTATTAAAAATTTTAAAAACATTTGTATTGATCAATATTTTTACATGTATTTGTTTTTAATGCTAATTGATTTTAGTATGAACTGAATACAACTTGAAACCTAGATCTTTTATAGCGTTTTACAAATCAGATGTCTGTGGTACTAGGAAATGTAGCACCAAGTATTCTCTTGCAGTGTCTTCAGTTATAAGAGAGAGAGTTATATCAGGGCAGAAAAATGATATTCTGGCAGCTACAATTATGATAAACATCTACATACATAGCAAACTATAGCAAAATCTTTGCAACAGACAATTGGAAAAAGGGATTCAATAACAAAAGAAGAAAAAAAAAGAAACTAACAATATGTAAACTGGTAAAATTTAATAGCTGACCAGACATAAAGCTGGTTCTATATTGGTGGAATAAGCTTGCAATTACTATGGTAACATTATACATGTGTATGTGAAACATTATATAGGAATTTTCCATTTCAAACTGCTATTTAACCCTGAACAAAATGCTACTTGAGTTTTCTTTATTATAGGGAGTTATAGCTGTTGCTCTCTGTAAAGGGGAGAAAAATGGTGGATATATACCAATCAACAAAAATCTCTGGTATATATGATTTACTTCATTTAGCTTAATACGAGGGTTGTTCGGGAAGTTCTGAGAATTGTTTTATAGCACACGTTGTAGTCGGGTTAGCGTAAATATAAATATATACGCATTTATTTCAATATATACTGTACAGTATCTGAAAATATCATCATCATACACACAGAAACTAAAACATAATTAAATAGTAAATAACCATATAACAAACACCCGGAGCACGCCGACGTCATTTGCAACGTTATGCGACGTTAAAGTCCATCGATCGTCGCACCTTTTCAACGTAGTCACCTGCAATTTCGATGCATTTCCTGTGTCGGCTGATCCACTTATTGTATGTTTCCACGTACTCGGTAAAGGACGAGACTATAGCTTGCGTATGCTTAACAAGATCGTCAGCTGAGTCAAAGCGTTTTCCACGCAGCTGTGATTTGAGCTCCGGGAACACACGGAAGTCCATCGGAGCGAGGTCCGGGCTGTATGGAGGGTTTCTTCCTTCTTTAAAACGAGCATGCCATCTATACACTGTAGCCGGACTGCATTTCTTGTATTTTCCTGTAGAATTGATCATTTTCATTGTTTCTGTGGAAGACTTTTCCAGCGCAACACAAAATTTCACGATGCTTCGCAATTCAATGTCACCTATCGACGTCATGTTGTTTACTCAGTGGCTCTGGGCAACAACTTTAAAACAATGTTGATCCGTTGAGAATTTAAATAACGTTATGATATTTTCAGGAAATGACGTCTTGACGTTCCGCTGCTGACCAGCGTTTTCGCGCATTTTTTACGTTATCAAAATTACGAAATATTATTAGTGTAGCGCGTTATACCTTTCTTTAGAGTCCGGCTGCTCCGGTGCGGCATTATAGTGTTGCTATGGTTACTGCTATTTCCGGCTATTGTTGTCTGAGTCTATTCAATTTTTAGGAATAGTTCCGTGATATGCTTATCTTAGTATGTGCAAAATATTACGTCTTAGAAACAAAAAATATAGGAGATATGACAAAATTCCCAGAACTTCCCGAACAACCCTCGTATTGTATGTTCACATTTATAATATTTTTTTGTGTGTGTGGTTTGTTTTTGTCATGAAGATAATTTCTGCTATTTCTTTAAGTATGACATTGTGTAATTTCATTTTACCTGACATTTTCAAGGTTTAACTATTAGGATTAGGAATTTTAAAATTATACCATTTATTAACTTTAATTATTGAAATTTATCATAGACTTATATCAATAAATGTTTTATATTTCAGGTCACTGTCGTTTGTGATATGTTTGTCATGTTTTGCATTTTTCCTGTTTACCTTTTGCTATATTACTATTGATGTGTATCAGATATGGTCTGGGGCACCATTCTACTACCCAGGTAATGTTTTTCTTATCAACTTTTAATGCTTCTTAATTGTGATTTATTAAACTAGACAAAATAACTTTTTTGATAGATTGTAGACACTAACATATATATATATGTATTTACATGCATTACTTTATGGCTTGAATTTGTAAAATATCTAGGAGTATACAAAAGTGCCTAAATGGAAAGAAAAATAGTTTCTAACAAATCCAGCTACCAAAAGCTCATAATGACTTGAATTTGATTAGAAATCTGGCTGAAAACAATATAGCTTTACATAACATGATACAGGCATGTATAATTTGATATTGTTACATATAGGCAGGAACTCGATCTTCATGTATGTAGCTCACCTGGTGTTACTGCCATACTTTCCTGTAAGCATTTATGTAGACGAGACGTCTCACTGGGCCCAGCTTGCTATGAACCTATGGGGACCGTCATTCTGGTGTCTTGTTACTTATTATATGCACCAGAAACTGATCTTCTATACAATCTGAGCATATACAGCTGTTATATTGTGATTATATTTACATGTTGACCTTTTATTGCACAAAATTATTATCCGTAACAATGCACTTTAAGCTAGTCATAATTATTTTCATGGTCCTAGTATGTTAATGTTGAAAAATATGCATCAACATACACTATATATTAAAAAAAAGCTAACTGTATTTCAGTATTTGTTTTAAGTCCTGATAAATACAGCTGGCAGTTTGTTTGTTTCATTTTACGCATTTTCCCAACAGCATTTCAGTCATATAGGCAGAGCAATTTATTAATTGAATATATATTCTACACTGGCAAAACTATTTTTTTTGAGGTTTCCCATCATTCAGAAACCAATGTATTATCTCTTGTATTTATACTCGGCACCAAATGTTTAAGATACCACCTTCCACCTACTTGTACCTTCAACCTGTTCTATTTCATTTTATACCTTTGGACAAAATTCTAGACAAACTTTTCTAGACTGACTTGGGCTAAGATCAGACATGATCACATGCCTAGCTTTTTAATGCAAGGAATTAATAGAAAATGGCTGTAAATTGTTTAACTAGACTTCCATCAAATTAAATGCTGAGGGACATACTGTTTCCACGGTGATTTATAGAAACTCAAAAAAAGTACAATAATATACTGTACATGATTGTTTATATAACTAAAGATGAATTTTATCGTTTTTATTTATAATATATGAAGATAGTTTATTTACACTAGCCACTTATTTTGTTATTTTTATTACATGTTTTATTTTTGCATACACTTTTTAGCTCGACTTTTCTATGAAAAGGGGAGCTATCCTACTCGCCCCGGCGTCGGCGTTAGCGTTGGCGTCACACCTTGGTTAAGTTTTTCGTACCACCCCACTTTATTTCAGAAGTATTACAAGTATGGCTTTGAAACTTACCATACTTGTTCACCATCATAACCTCCATCTACAGACAAGAGTACATAACTCTGTCAAGGTTTTTGACAGAATTATGGCCCTTTTTTGACTTAGAAAGTGTATTGAGCTTGGTTAAGTTTTTTGTACCACCTCACTTTATTTCAAAACCATTGGAGGTATTGCTTTGAAACTGACCATACTTATTTACCATCACGACCTTCATCAACAGACAAGAGGACATAACTCTGTCAAGGTTTTTGACAGAATTATGCCCCTTTTTGACTTAGAAAATACATTGAATATGGGTAAAATCCACTTATTGCCTTAACCCTTTGAGATATTGCTTTGAAACTTTTAATGCTATTTCACATCATTACCCCCATCTGTACGCAAGAGAAGGTAACTCTGTCAAGGATTTGTTTTAAAAATTAAGGCCTTTTATCGACTTAGAATCTTGGTTAAGTTTTTAGTACCAGTCCACTTTTTGACTGAACTGTTTGAGATATTAATTTGAAAGTTGGAATACTTGTTTACAATCATGATTCCCAAACATGTCCAGGAGAAGGTAATTCTGTCAAAGATTTTATTTGAATTATGGCCCTTAACTGTCAATGTTTTGTATTATAGGCAAGCACTAAAAAAGTCGAGCGCGCTGTCTTACGGACAGCTCTTGTTTGCTTTTAAAATTATAGTTAAATGTTAAATATTTCAGGTATGAATGCCATTTTATTGTACCTAGGACATGAGATTATCAACCAACCATTCCGGACATTCTGGGGTATAAAACCTAATTCTCACATGGTGTATTTACCAATCAACATTTGGGATACCGCAGTCTGGATAATACTGTCTTACTTCTTGTACTACAAGGAAATCTTCTTTTCTGTATGAATCTACAACTGTTGTATCAAAAAAGGAATCTTTACATGTGAAGAAGATGTTTGGACAGCGATTTTAACAATTTACTTTCCATGTTTTTAATGGAGATTAATCTTTGGACTTGGTGAATTGGACTGACCCTGTCTGGAAAGGGAGATGTCAATATTAATTCTAAAGAATGCTTATTAGTTATTTATTAAGCTATAGCATTATTGTTGTTCAAAGATGTTCAGAGGTTTATAATATACTTGAGGCAGAATTGTTATATATAATAATAAAGGTAGCTATTTTATATGTAATGTTAACAGCTTCATAAAGTGACTATCAAATCTTTATATATATTTATAAACAACTTTTTATTAAACTACCTTCAGTTTCTGCAATCAAGACTGGAAAAGTGTATATACAGTTAACTGTAAATTGTCATCAGTATATCTTATTGTGTACTAGTCAGTGTTTTAGCCCTATGCATCACTTTACAAATTAATCAAGTTTGCATATTCCCAGTTTTACTATATGCTTTAACCGAGTGATGTGCATCATTCATTGGGGATATCAAGTCATTAAACCTGCATATTTTACAGTTTTGATTATCTGATTTAAAATATTTTGAATGACCAGTTATATTGTCCAAATTGGTAAGTACATTTAAGATATTTAGCTTGGTAAAGGTTTAAATACTAGATAGTAGGGTTCATTAAATACTTATCATCTTATGCATGCAAATCTTTTAGTTCAACCTAGGGTTTGTTCCTTATGTCATGTTGAATTTTTCTTTTGTGTAACTTACTAAGGTTTGAATATTCTGTAAGGTTGCTTTTTTTCTTTTTGATATATTTTTCTATATGATAAAGGCTTGGATACCGGTGATTTACTTATCTTAATGCATGCAAATCTTTTAGTTCAATGTAGGGTTGAAATAACGTTTGTATTTGTCATGTTGATTTTTTTGTTTGGTTTAAATATTCTGTATGGTTGCTTTATCTCTTTTGATATATTTTTATATAATAAAGGCTTGAATATTTTTAAGGTTGACCTTTGTATAAGTAACATACAAAAAATAAGGGTTTTAATATTTTGATAGGTTGATCTTTTACTTTTTTTCTTTAACCTAAATTGTTTTTCCTACTTGTTAAATGTTGAAGAGTTTGTAAGATTGTAATTTTTCTGTTTTCTTTTTTTTTGATAATTTAAATGTTTACATTTTTTTCCACTGAATTTTGTCAGATTTCATTTTAAAGGTACTGTACTGCTAGCTGCATTTTTTGTCTGAATTTAAACATGTCAAAATTTTACATTTAATTTCCATAAAATATATATAATGAATGCTGTGCAAAACTTGCTCTACTAAGTGATCATAATTAACGATTCTTTCGCCATTTTATATATGATTGCATAGTTGGGTAAATTTTAACAGTACCTTTTACATAAATACTTTGAAATAGAAAGAGTCAATTTGCTTTGTTTGCTATCACAAAATGGATTATAATTGATAGTTTTTTATTGATATTAGATAACTTTAGTTCGGTCAAAAATGATAACTTTATTTTGGTCAAAAAGTCAGTTATCAAATAGATATCTGACAAAAAGAATCATTACAACTTATTTTTTTCTATTACTACAATTGATAAAGAGATGAATGTTTCATTTACATTAGTTTTCTGTTACAAATGGAAGGAAGATTGCTGCTTTTGATACCTTAAAATTGCCACAATGTGGCATGGCAAATCTGAAAGCTTAATACAAAATATAAAATGTTTGAATATTTTATTAAACTATGCTTATTATTTTTCATCAAGTATTTACATCTTAACATTAAAAAGTTGTTATTAATTAAATTAATAAAATTGTTTGCATTATGTAAATTATATATAATGGAGATGTACATTTTGTTAATAAAATAATCTTTAAAAGAATGTACTAGTGTACTTTATCTGTCATTTAATACACTTTCCAAATTTCTAATTTGTCACCCCTCGAATGAATTGTTTTGAAAATTCTTAGCTATATTTAAACATTTATATGAGCCGTGTCATGACAAAACCAGCATAATGAGTTTGTGACCAGCATGGATCCAGACCAGCCTGCACATCCGTGTAGTCTGATCAGGATACATGTTGTTCACTGTCAATTTCTCTACTTGTTATTGGGTTTATAAGCAAACTGCATGGATCCTGATCAGACTGTGCGGATACGCATGCTGGTCTGGATCCATGCTGGTTGCAAACAGATTACGTTGGTTTTGTAAAGGCGTGGCTCATATATTCTTATAAATTGTTTAAATTATAACTACCATACTTGATTTTTTTCTTATTAAAATCAGTCACCCATTATCAAAGTATTAAAAATACAAATTGCAATCACAAATGTCAAGGGGTTTTCAAACCAAAACAATTTAATGCAAAAACAATGGGATTAATTAACTTGTAGAGAATAGTTAATTAACAGTTAAATTGATATGTGAAATTGTTTCTGTCTTTGCCATATGCAAATGAATTATGTCATAAATGACCACCATTACAATACCAGGGTTAAAGGGAAAGATCATATTGTACTTTGTATTTTGAAATCTGGGTTTCAATAGTCCTACAGTTGGACTGTACACTACTACTTGCATTCTCAGTGCTCGATAGTAAAATGCAGGAATTTCCAAAGAAGATTTTGTTCACAATACATAGTTATGAACCTTATTTGGTGACCTGGAATTTCTAAGTTTACTAAGGGTCATAATTCAGTAAAAATCAATGCTAGAGTAATCGGTCTTTAACAGTGACCTTCAAACACGATTGCGAAAATGTGTGTGAAGTTGCAGGCAAATATCTGTAGGAAATGATATGAAACTGTACAAGAAGTTGCAACTAAAACTTTTACAAAGTCAAAAGTGTAATGCTGATAGAAGCACAAGCAACAAGGTAGACACACCATTCTTAAGATAGACAAGCTTATAATGTCCTTGCTGTGATAATGGCAGATATACATACAAGTGTTCATTGTTATGTTACGTAACAATTAAAAACCATATGACAACTTTCCAGCTGAGATGATTTCATAATTTATTTCTGGCTCAAGCAGGCATCTGGGTGGAAACCATTGATCCTGTATAATGTTCATGTACTTACCGGTATATATATATTGAAAATCAAATTGTCGTTTGTAGTTATTGGATTCAAAAGAGCAGGACTGTGTCTATGAATCTACGTAGAATGCATGCTAACATGCATGTTCAACAAGTTAACTCTACAGCAAGATTTATTTTTGGCACAATATACTTGAAAGTTATAAACAAGCTGTCTGTAGGACAGCAGGCTCAACTATTCTCAATACTAGATATTAAAATAAGAGCCTGGATATTGTTGGAATTAACCATAAAAAGATTGCAATTAATAATTCATGACATAGTTATTCCAAAGAATTTTCCTATGTTCACATAGGGCCATATGTCATTAAAAGTTCATGCCAAGAGTCAGAGACCTCAAATTAAGATCCCAGATGTTGTATGTTTTGTTTTAGTGACAAGTATATTATCGAGAATATTATATCTCAAATGAAACTCAAATGAAATGTCCAGGTAAAATACACTATTGTATGATTTTTAACTAGAGACAACAAGAGTATGTCTTAAAATTCCAAGATTTAATACACAAATGATGTTACATGTAGCATGCTTTGGAGGCAAAGCTTATCAGTAACTAAAGTCTGTTTCAAGATTATCAATATAGAACACCAGAGATTTGCTTAAAGAAAATTCCCTCAGGAGCTTTGAACATGTATCTTGTATGCAACTTTAAAATTACCAAAATTTTAAGTTAACAAAGGACCACAATTCAGTCAAAATCCATGCTTGGATAGTGACCTACAATTATGGTTACAAAAACACGTGTAAAGTTTAAAATGAATGCCATCAGCAGTTTTGAAGATTGATGCTGCCTATAAAACTTAACCATGGGCAATAATTCAAAATCCACATCAGACTTATTGGCCTTGGAGAGTGATCCAAACACGTTTTAAGTTTCAAGTGGGTGTTTCAGTAATTTTAATTTTGATGTTGCATGTAAAACTTAAGCTGAGAATTTTCTAAGTTCAAAAAGGACTATAATTCAATTAAAATCCATGTCAGTTATGGGACTTGAATAGTGACTACACTAGTACAGGTTACAAAGACACGTATTAAGATTTAAGTAAAAGCTTTCAATAGATTTGAAGAATGGTCTTATATAAAAAACTTAAACCATCATTAATTTTCTAAATTTGCAAAGGGCCATAATTCTATCAAAACCCACACTAGAGTTTTGGGCCTGGGAAAGTGACCTCCTTCTTCGATGTAAAACAAGTGTGTGAACCAAATATCTTTAGTGGTTTCTAATATATGATTATGCTGATGCAGACTCAGACACCTGGTTTATTAAGATAGCTCCATATTCATCGACAAGCAATGTCTTGTGTTGTACCAAATCATTCTTTCATCAATATCATATAGCTTTTTTAAAAGGAACTAGATATGTGTCATCATGCCACGGATGCCCCCGCATGCAGCCAAAATTTCAGATGTTATAATATTTAGTTCCAAATTTGTTTGCACAAATAATTTTTTTCATTTTAAGTTCAAAGCCCTTAAAACTTTTCAATGTTAACACAAACCATTTTCATACAATGTTCAAGGCACTGAAATTATTCAGTCTAAACCTTTTGAAAATAGCATATTTCATATTTGTAGCCAAAATAATGGCTACATACATTTCAGTGCTGAAACTGAAAGTTCAAAATTTTTACAACATTCAAGAAAGATAAGTTTGTCCAAAATCATTGAACCACGACCAAATTCAAACTTAAACTGCTTATTCCTAAGATGTATCTATATTATTTTCAAAGTGAAAGGGACATAACTCTGCAAAAAAGTCATCGAACCATGACCAAATTCAAACTTGACCTGCCCATTCCTTTGACATATCCATATGTCAAATTTGAGTAGTTGGGTAGATAATGAACAGAAACTGTAAATTTCATATTATTTTCAAAGTGAAAGGGGCATTACTCTGCCAAAAATCATTGAACCATGACCAAATTCCAACTTGGCCTGGGCATTCCAAAAATATATCCATATGTCAAATTTGAGTTGAATGTGTTTTACCATTGGGGAGATAATAAACAGAAACTGAAATTTCATATTATTTTCAAAGTGAAAGGGGCATAACTCTGCCAAAAATCATTGAACCATAACCAACTTTGAACTTGACCTGCGCATTCCTGAGACGTATCCATATGTCAAGTTTGAGTTAAAAGTGTTGTACCATTGGGGAGATAATGACCGGAAACTGAAAATTTCATATTATTTCCAAAAGTGAAAGGGGCATAACTCTGCCAAAAATCATTGAACCATGACCAAATTCGAACTTGACCTGTATTTTTCTCACGACATATCCATATGTCAAATTTGAGTTGAATGTGTTGTACTGTTGGGGATAATGAACGGAAACTGAAAATTTCATATTATTTTCAAAGTAAAAGGGGCATAACTCTGCCAAAAATCATCGAACCATGACCAAATTCGAACTTGACCTGTATTTTTCTCATGACATATCCATATGTCAAGTTTGAGTTGAATGTGTTGTACCATTGGGGAGATAATGAACGGAAACTGAAAATTTCATATTATTTTAAAGTAAAAGGGGCATAACTCTGCCAAAAATCATCAAACCATGACCAAATTCGAACTTGACCTGTATTTTCTCACGACATATCCATATGTCAAATTTGAGTTGAATGTGTGCAACCGTTACTAAGATAATGAACGGAAACTGATGATGACGGAATGACAGAATGACGGAATGACGGAAGGACGGAACAGGGTAACACTATATGCCCCGGCCATTACATGGCGGGGGCATAATAAAATACAGTAAAAACAAACAAAATTTTAAGAAATAATGTATTTAATTTTTCATATGTACAATAAAGTTTTAAGGAAAATTTTACACACTGGCTCATAAAATGATAAAAAGTATGTCACTTAATTAACATCAATTGATATAAAATGATAAAAAACTTGTTGAAAACACATATCAGCACATTTTTTGTTGTTGAATTTTTATAATAACAAAATAAAACAGGAATTTTTTTTAATTAGAGACAAAGTTTACAATGCTAATTTTATTACATTATGTATGATGTAGAAATATGCTGTTGCTGAAAAATAACACAAACTTTCACATAAACCACATTTACACCAATATTTATTTTATTGTTCTCTGATTTTCTGACCATTTTAGTGAAAACACAAATAATTTACACATTCATCATTTTAATTTATTATCCATATAAAATATTTCAACCAATAATTCAATTAGTGCTGCTTTACCTTTAATTTCATTACCAATTATCAATGTGAACTTATTTTTACCATTACCTTAAGTATACCTGGTAACTGTCAAAAAAAAAAGACATTAAAATAAGGAGTCTAAAACATGTCCATTGATAATGTTACATGTATTGCTACCTTGTAAAGCTTCCTCTCTGTCAAGTTCAGTAACCCTGAGTTGAGTTGTTTAGCACTTGATTTTGAAAAAATCATATTATAACATCAGGCTAAAACCAGTTTCTACAAACGTAACCTGGTGTTAACTGTTAACATGCATCATTTTCATATAGTCTTCAATTTCACAATATTGTCATGTCGTCAGGAAAATATATTAGCTGAAGTGCTTTAAAAAGCACATTCCTTGTCAATGGTTTATTTCTTGGCTATTTTCTTTACCATATTAAAAACAGTCACACTGATTAGCTAAACTTAAGAAAATACAGTTTAGCCTTGAATATCTGATAAAAGTAAAATATTAAATAGGTGATAATAATTTTAAAAGAAACTGTTAATTATTGTGCAGTCGCCAACTAAATGTTGGGGGTCTTACACCCAACAACTCCTTCAGATTTTTCATGTTGTAGCACCTTATTTCTATGAACAGATTTTATCCATTAAGTTTAATGCTTTTTCATTTTATTAAAACTGCATATTGCAAATAAGTATGAAAAATCTTCAGGAAATTGTGACCACTTTTATACATCTAAGTTCTGGCTAATCTAAAGAAATAACTTCTGTTTTACTTTGTAAATGACAAAGCATTAGGATTTTGTTCCTTTGAAAGAACATTCTGTAACAAGCTCTACTTCTTTTTGCAAAGAGTCAAAGCAAATGGAAAATAACAAAGAATTAATTCAATTCATTTCTGATTTTGTTAATTAAACTGAAGAAGAACCCAACTATGACCAGTCAAGATCTTCCAAATGAGCTGGTCATACAATATATTAAGATAAAGCATTTTTTCTCATATTCTCCCTATCAAATGAGCATGCAAGTGTTAATTAAAATCTGAAGAACTTTTTTCACCTACCATTTATCTTAACTGTAGACTACTTCATCTTTGAAATTTCACTGTTAAAAGAAAACAAAGCACCCTGATGCATGCTATCCAATAGGTTAAATGAAAGGCAACTGTATTTTCAATATAAATATAACTATTAATTTACACATAATTCTTCCTTCATTACAATTTTATGCCATTACTTAACTTTATCTACTTTTTGTTTGGCATTCAGAATAGATCTTAACCAAAAATTGATAATGTCTAGAAAAAAGAAATAACTATTCATTTTTTATATTAAAGAAAGTCAATAAAAATTTAGTCACCAACATAATACATATATCATGTTGGGGGCAAAAAGGCCCAACAGCAAATTGCTGTGACAACTTGCCTGCTTTTTTTTCAGGATTGTCTAACAAGAGAACAATTCTACATGACAATGTTGCATTTAAAATTTATCTAATATTGTAATATAAAGAACAAGTCACCAACGTATTGTTGGGGGCCAGTGAAGCCCAACAGCAGGTATATGTACCTGCTGTGACGACTTGCCTTTCAGTTCTGGTGTTTCCCCTGCAGTCTTCTACCAAGAACATGTACATTTTATAATATCAGCTAAAGACTTTACAAAAACAAGTCACCAACTATTGTTGGGGACCATATACCAGAAATGCTAATATTTATTGAGCTTAATTGTCCTCATGAAAATCATGTATGATAAGCAATAGGTCATCAAGGTTGTTGATGCATATTGATTTCTCATTCAGTCATAAATTAATGAATATGGCATTTAAATTGTAATATGTTGTTGTTTTTACAAAGTCTAAATTAAGAGTTACAACAGGAACCACATACTAGCATCTCTGAAAGGTCCAACAGTAACATAAAAATGTAACTGTGACATGACTTGCCTTGGTTCTGCTGCCGATTTCCTCAATATTTAGCACTAACCAAAACAAATGCCTAATATTCATTAAGAAAAAACTTCTGCAATTAGTTTTCAACTTTTAAAGTAACCCTGTATTTTCTGAAATGTTCCTTTTTAAGTGATACTATTATCCAATTGCTTTTTATTTTGAAGGTGTTTAAAAATCTCTTATTTAAATTTTATCTGTGGTAATAGTTCTTTTTTAAGTGATACTATTATGCAATTGCTTTTTCTTTTGAAGAGGTGTTTAAAAATCTCTTATTTAAATTATATATGTGGTAATAGATCCTTTTTTAATCACAACACCTATAATACATATATTTCAAGTAAAACTTCCACAAATAACGCAGTACACAATCATGTCTAATAAATTGATTTAAAACACAATCACACTTTACATACCTTTCAACTGCTGAAAGATCTGTTCATTATTTACAAATACTATATACATCATCAAATATTTCAAACAAAAAGTAAAATATTTATTCTCTGCACTTACCGCAGACTTTTTCACAAGCACAAGATAATTAAAAACTCTTCTCCATTCAATTTAACAGGCTTACCTTTTTAAAACTTTTACACAAGAATTGACCAACATCTATATTGAAATTCTGTTTTGAATTTTCAAACAGCATTACACAAGATTTAAATTTTTTACACATTGCACTATGCACTTAACTGATGGAAATCTCACAGCATTTCATTGTCGCTTGATTATTCCACTCAATTCCAGTTATTCCATGACAATAAAATAAATCTTTTTTCAATAACGTCCTGGGTACATTGGAGGCCGGTTTCCTTGGTAACCCATATTGTACATTCCCTGATTTGGCATACCCATCATGGCTGAAAGCAAACAAGTGAGATATATTTAAATATGTTTTTTCTTGTTTTTAGTTAGTTAACTGCTATACATTTTAAGATGTTTCAAATGGACTTGTCCATCTCAAAATATGGACAAAAACATTCATTATTTTTAGGAAAAATTTCATAATATGTACTGACTGAAAAGTAAACAGAGCAGTTAATGATCAGACATCATGAATGTGGCAGCTTTATCTTGATGTGCAATGGCTGCATGGGAAGATCGTGTTACTGCCAGCAGGCTAATGGTTAAATATGTATCAATCATAAACACTAACTGTCTGATGCATGTGTTATAAGACAGTGCATATATTTCTGATAGTTTCCATCAAATCTCATCAGAAGAACAAGACCTTTAACCCTTACAACACTGATAAGTTTCTTTTAATTTTAACATATATAATTTACCTTGTGGTGGCATTGGTGGTCTCATGCCTGGTGCACCTGGACCCATACCTGTGAAAATTTAACTCACAATAAATGAACTAAAATACATATAATAGAAATGCAGTGTTTCAACTATAATCAATGCAGGTTGGTTTTTTTTGTCCTCTTAGTCACATATAGTTTTTAAGTAAGAAAACATATTTAATTATAGTAGTCCATAATTTCAAAGAAAATTCTTTTAAAGAATTCAATACTCTAACAATATTCTAAGTCTACTAGAATCTTTGAAAGCATTTCATTTTTTTTGGAGGGGGGGGGGTTAAATTTCCAAGAACGAATAATTACATTTTTATGATGAGTGTACAACACGACAGTTTCAATATGTATTAATAAATAAGAGGGCCATGATGGCCCTGAGGTTGCTCACCTGTATATAGGCCCCCCCCCCCAACGTTGCAGAGCCAATTTAACCCAAGGGCTTTTATTTGCACAAACTTGGTAGACACCCATAAGAAGATGTTTCATTTGAGTTTTTACTATACACATATAGTTAAAAACAATGACACCCCTGGGGCCGGGCCAGTTTTGACCCCAGGGCTTTTATTTGAACAAACTTTGTAGACACTCACTAAAAGATGTTTCATGCTTAATATCTTAACTCTAGCTATTTGGGTTTTTTCAAAAAAGATTTTTTAAGTTTTTGCTATACACATATAAGGAAAATCAATGACCCCCGGGGCGGTGCCAATTTTGACCCCAGGGCTTTTATTTGAACAAACTTGGTAGACACCTATTAGAACATGTTTGATGCTAAATATCTTAGCCATAGTTCTTAGAGTTCTTTAAAAGAAGATTTTTTAAGTTTTTACTATATGCATATAGGGAAAATCAATGACCCCCCGGGGCGGGGCCAATTTTGACCCCAGGGCTTTTATTTGAACAAACTTGGTAGACACTTATTAGAACATGTTTCATGCTAAATATCTTAGCTCTAACTCTTTTGGTTCTTTAAAAGAAGATTTTTTAAGTTTTTAGTATATGCATATAGGGAAAATCAATGACCCCCTGGGGCAGGGCCAATTTTGACCCCAGGGCTTTTATTTGAACAATCTTGGTAGACACTTATTAGAACATGTTTCATGCTAAATATCTTAGCTCTAACTCTTTTGGTTCTTTAAAAGAAGATTTTTTAAGTTTTTACTATATGCATATAGGGAAAATCAATGACCCCCTGGGGCGGGGCCAATTTTGACCCCAGGGCTTTTATTTGAACAAACTTGGTAGACACCTATTAGAACATTGTTTGATGCTTAATATCTTAGCCATAGCTCTTTGAGTTCTTTAAAAGAAGATTTTTTAAGTTTTTACTATATGCATATAGGGAAAATCAATGACCCCCCGGGGCGGGGCCAATTTTGACCCCAGGGCTTTTATTTGAACAAACTTGGTAGACACTCACTAGAAGATGTTTCATGCCAAATATCTAAGCTCTAGCTCTTATGGTTTTTTAAAAGAAGATATTTAAAGTTTTTTCTTTCGGTTGCCATGGCAACCAGAGTTCTGCATGGAATTAAATTCTTTGAACAATTTTTAAAGGTGACCACCAAAGGAACATTCCTGTGAAGTTTGGATGAAATTGGCTTAGTGGTTTATGAGGAGATGTCATTTAAAGTAAAAGTTTACGGACGGACGCCGGACGGACGCCGGACGAAAAGCGATCACAAAAGCTCACCCTGTCACTTTGTGACAGGTGAGCTAAAAATAATATTAAGAAAATACTTACCCATTCCCATGTTATTAGGAGCCATACCCATAGCTGGATTTGGTGCCATGCCCATTGCCGAGACAGGAGGCATGCCCATAGTCGAAGTTGGAGCAGCCATGCTTTGAGGTAAAGGTGTGAAACCTTTAGTTGCAAAATGTGCATACTTGGACATAGACAATCTTTTCTCCTCCTGTTGCAAAAATAGAGGCAAACACATACACCATTAAAATAACCTAGTCAACAAATACAATCTAGATATATTAGCTCTTACCTCATACTAGCAGCACTGTACACCTGAAACCTTAGAACATCATTTTTACAGAAGATCATTTTACAATTACAAAACCAATAAAAACATTAAACCCTTAGAGATATCAAGGAAATATCTTACCTGAGAGACCACATTAGAACTGTAACACTTTTTTGGGGGAAAAAAGAACATTAAAAAAAAATGCAATATACTACACTTGAAGGAGATCTTAACGTATTTAGAAATAAATTTCACAGTACCTGCCATGTATAAAAGAGAGTCAAAGTAGCATACAGTCTACATACCAGAGAGATATCCTCATCAGGGTGCATCAATTTAGATGTCAAACCTGAACTAGATTCTGGTTTCTTTATCTGTGGTGCTCCTGTAATGGTTGCACTGTTTGATGTTGACGGTGACGATGTGATGGTAGCAGCCGAGGGGAATGTTGGCTTTGGCGGACCAGCCGTCGTAGCTGATGAGGAAGGTGAGGATGACTGAAATAAAGTTAATCATAACTTTTATTAAGATCAACCTATACCATGCTTTTGTATTATGTTGGTTTTTAAATAATATTCAATTGTTTTAGCTTGGTCATTTTAAAATATCTAAGGAATGACAGACAATAAGAAAATGGTAAATATAGTTCTTATACAGATAATGACGGCAAATGAACAATGATTTAAATGAAGGGATATATATATGGGGCAAAGATCCCTTGTTCAGCCTCAATATACAATCATCAAACTGTTTAGGTCAAGACATAACCAGGGGTGCAGACCACCTATGCCCAAGTTGTTCAACTCAGGACTTTTTGTCACAAGTAGTTTTTCCTGTACAACTTGTCCACAGACAAGAGAAAATGTCAGCCAGATTACAAGCAAAGTACTGCATTTTTATCCCTAAACAAAAAGAACATTTAAACTCCAAATTTTGTTATGAATTAAATGCCTAATTTGTGAAAATAGAACTTAAAATATTAAATACACCATATAAATGTACTGCCAAATCTCCAGACTGTTCCCATTGACTAACTGTTAAAACGATATCAGGTCTTTCTTTCAGGGAAATCTTTCTACACTTTACTATGCAAGGAAGCTGTAAGGTCATTTAAAACATTTATCATTTTCTTATATGGGCAAGTAAAGTTCAACTAAAGACAAATTTTCTGCAAAAAAAAATATATAAGCCAAATCATCAAAGAAATGAACACTTACTGCAGCTGCTGAAGGAAATAAAGGTTTAGAGGGGGCTGACATCTGGGATGCCGACATTGGTGGCACTGCAGCACCAGGCATTCCCGGCATGTAAGGTCTAGGTGGCATTGGACCCATACCAGGACCCATCCTGAAAAAATTTCAATCACATACAATGCCAAACATGTCTATTAAAGTTTATTTTCATTTTTTTAAACTGGTTGAACATGAATATTTCTTTCACTACAGTTCTATTTCGCACTACACAATTGGCAAAGTACATTCACAACATATCAATATGTATACTTCATAATTCAATGCATGAAATTTGGTATCAATACTACATCATTATTTTACAAGAAAATATGAAAAACAATTGAGGTATAAACTTACATAGGTCCCATTGGCCCTGAAAAATAAGAAGAAAAAACATTCAGTAATAACAAACTTGTGTTTTTCAGACTGAAGCTATATTGTTAAAAAAATGTTTTCACATTACAACCATGTTGTCACTCTCAAACCAAGAAACAGTTTCATATCTATAAGAACATAATTCTTTGCATGTTTCGCAGTTTAAATCTGGATATTTTTGTATCAAACAATCTGGTCTAATTGTTTTACCAAGTTAACTTAATGACTCAAGATCATTTAGAAAATGTCAAAATAACATCATTTTTGTATTCTTATTAACATGTTCTTATATACCAGTAAATTAAACAAGAGCGATCAGTAATCACATGTGTCGCCTCATGATGGCCAATTTCATGTTGGGACAAATTTTGTGACAGACGGACAGACAGACGGACAGTGCACAACTAGACTAACAACTTTGTTCTGATCATCCCTGTAAAGTTTGGATAAAATTGCACCAGTAGTTTATGAGGAGTAGTCCGGACAAGCTTTTGCGTATCTGGCAACACACAGAAAAAAACACCTTTTTATCAAAGGGCCATAACTCAGCCAAAAATCATTCAACCGGAAAACCCGTGCAATATGCACAAGGACTTGAGCTACAGATCAATCCTGTAAAGTTTCATTGAAATTGCATAAGTGGTATAAGAGAAGTAGTCCGGACAAACTTTAAAAATAAAAATTATTAAAGGGCTATAACTCAAACAAAAATCATTGAACCGGAAAATGCTGACAATATGCACAACTAGACTTGGTACTGATCATTCCTGTAAAGTTTGGATGAAATTGCACCAGTAGTTTATGAGGAGTAGTCCGGACAAGCTTTTGTGTATCTGGCAACACACAGAAAAAGAAACCTTTTTATCAAAGGGCCATAACTCGGCCAAAAATCATTCAACCGGAAAAGCCGTGCAATATGCGCAAGGACTTGAGCTACAGATCAATCCTGTAAAGTTTCATTGAAATTGCATTAGTGGTATAAGAGAAGTAGTCCGGACAAACTTTAAAATTAAAAATTATTAAAGGGCCATAACTCTGACAAAAATCATTGAACCGGAAAATCCTGACAATATGCACAACTAGACTTGGTACTGATCATTCCTGTAAAGTTTGGATGAAATTGCACCAGTAGTTTATGAGGAGTAGTCCGGACAAGTTTTGTGACGGACGGACGGACGGACAGACAGACAGACGGACAGACAGACGACGGAGAAGTGATCCCTATATGTCGCCACTACTCCGTAGAGGCGACACAAAAATGTTTCAAATATTCCAAATTCTTACCCATAGGTCCCATCCCAGGTCTCATACCCATAGGAGCCATGCCCATTGGTGGAGGTATAGGTGGCATTCCACCCATGAATGGCATAGGTGCAGATGCTGGTACTGGGGGTGCTGGTATTCCATTAGCCGCTGGCACAGGAGGCTTAGGTCCCTGGTTAGAGTCCTCATCACTATCATCACCTCCATCTTTGGCTGCTGCTGCTACAACATACAAAAAATTTCTTTCTGTTTCAAGACAAAATAAAACTATGCTCATTAATATTCCTAGTACTTCAGTCAACAATAAATATCAAAGATTAACTGTTCTTATTCTAATCATGTAATTCATGTTTGAATCTGTTTACATTTATTTAAGTATTTCAATGACTACCTTTGTTATGTTTTTGTCTCTCATGTTCTCTCAAATCATCATCTGGGATACCTTCCATGCCATATATTTCTATTTCTATATTGTGTCTACCTGGTACTGAATTAGGTACTTTGTCTACCTTTTCTTTATGAACCTAGAGATCAATGGAAAAAGAAGTTAAAAACACTAATCATTTCATAAAACACATATAATCTATCTTGTCATAAAACACATATAATCTATCTTGTGGTCAGCGATTCAGATAAGTGTCAGCCATGGGCAATATGCCAAATTTGACAACCAGTAATGTGTTAATGAAGTATAAGTGTAAAATACTTTTGAAAATAGTTTTAATCTCATTAATTATTATATCTTCACTAAAGTAAAATAAAGTCAAATCTGAATCACTGAACAAATTACGAATTACCGAACCAGATCTCTCATTTCACTTTTTTTGGCCACCAAAATTCAACCCCATTCCTTTCTACAATTCAAACATATTTTCCCCTATTTTTGAAAAAGTATACCCATATTTTTTATATACATAACTTTACTGTGTTCCTTTACAATAATTTTTTCTGCAATATACACGTTAGTGTTTGAAATTATTTTTTTTGTCCTATAGGATTGCAGTATTTCAAATGAATTGTAACACATTTACTTTGGTAAATCGGAAAACTGTTAATCAGTCTAGTAAATCAACTGTTTATGAAAATAATTTAAAACACTATGCTGATTAAATTTTTTTAGTATGTATTATAAAATTAAATTTTGTGGCTGTGCTGTGCCTGACCAATTATATTTTGTAAATATGTACTAATATCTTTAATCTATACTTCACTCTTTACACAAGTTATCCAAAATGTCATATCTATCAAATTTATATGAGAGAGAAGAATACCAAGACCCAGCAAACACCCGACGTTGACACAACGTTGGATCAACGTTGAAAATTGGTCGCGACGTCGGCGACCTTCACACAACGTCAAACCAACGTTGAAACCCCGACGTCTAACAATCGTTTCATTTTGACGTCGACCCGACGTCGGATTTTGGTCGGTAATCTGACAATTGGTAAATTTAATTTATAAAACCAATATATATAAATATAAGCATAAACAGTGAGAATTTTAAGTTTCTTTAGAAAGGGAAAATTATAAATTTATTTGCCTAATCAAAACAACAACAGTGTCACGTGGGTGGCTACCGTACGATATTCGATAGGTGGCGCTCGGTAAACGGATAGCCGCAGATCAGTATAATATATATTTGCTCTATTTTCTTTTTAATAATAACTTATCTCCTCGAATTAGTAAAAGAAGATTGTTAAATAATTAACAATGAAGTTGTAATCATTTTTGTGGGCTTCATTTAATAGTGGTAAATAATCTAGTAAATTCGAATTGGAGTCTTATCGGATTTGAAATTCAATTGTATTGGCGGACAAAAACGACGGGTTGACAGACAAAGTTGTATATTCCAAACAAATAGAAAAAGGTAGGCATACTTTATACATTGTTTTTAATGCTTATTTACCGCATGTTTGCATGGATTCGACGGTTAATTGATCATTGTAAAGTTTGACTGGTAAAACTTAAATTCACATGATTTCGCGAGATAAATATTTTCGTTTCCTCGTTAGAGCACTTTATTATTTGCTTTAGAACAATTTGTGTTATCGGATCATTTTTCCCACACTATATCGCCATTGCCAAATTATTTTTTTTTTTTGCATAAACAATGGTAATGGTAAAATATACTAGCAATTGAAATCAATAAAAGGTTAAATGCAGTACGTTAATTAGACTCTATTATTCAAATGCTGGCATATAAAATTTCCTCTTATTTCTTATCAACATGAATTTTTTTAATATGAGGGGCCAGTCATTTACACATGTATCAGATAACTGTAGGATCTCACGCACAGTTTTATTTTGATGTCTGTGTAGTTGTGTAACTACAGGTTACTTAGTGTTTCTTATATTATGATTATGATTCATGGCATTTTTTCCATGTAAATGATACAAATGATACAACTTTGGTAAGATATATCTGAAACCACATTGTTTTCGACTACTTATCTTTTCATTAATGTAATAAGACAACATATTATCAGTCAGTAAACTCATTATCAAGGTTATAAATCAATAAAAATAATAGTTTGTTAATTAGCCTGCTTATCAAATATAGTGAAACAAGTTATATGCTCATATCATAAAACGTTTGTACCCGCAGCCAGTCTGTCCTTTATACTCTTAGCAGGCCGGATCATGCTGGGCAGAGATATTATATCTATAAAAATGACAGTAACATGTGAATTTCTTTGATGTTGTAGCATTTATATAAATTATAATAACTATAAAAAATTTCAGTTTCATATTAAATTTTGCGCAGGCAAAAATCGTAATTTCTTACTAAATTTTCAGGTCATACTTAATGAAAATTAAATGTAATTAATTGAAGATTTTATCAGGTTTTTTTTCGTAAACGTGCTTTGATAATCGTAATATTGTTTTGTCTTTCAGTGAATATCAGAGATTGTGAAAATTATGATAATTCAACAACTGTCGAAAGTTCAGAGGAGGAAGATGAAATTATTAAGAGGAAAAGAAGAAGAAAAAAAACAAGATTTTGTGACAGGTATATTAAAAATATTACATTGATCACGAAGCCATTTTTATCAAAATCAATGGATATGGTTAGACTAAAGTAAATAAAAATATAAGCCTCTTTTGTTAAAGTAGTTGGAGAGTTTTGTCAGAATTTCATTTATTTGTAATATGTAAAAGTGATTTATTGCTTGCAATTGTAAGTGATTATTTGATTTATTTTTAAATTTCAGATAGTGTGAATGATGATATCTCAGGTTGGGGACGGTAAAGGTTCAGATTATGATATGCTTGAACTTTAAAGTATGCCCCAGATCGCCATAGTGGAGGTGGACGAAAGAAGAATGCTAATATATATGAACATTGATTTGTAGTAATATCAAATTATTCACAATATTGTTCCATTTAACATTCAGAACAAAAAGTACAAAGAAAAATATACAATCAGTGAGTTGGATAGATGATTGGAAAATCCCAACCTCAGGGTGATCGGTTCAGTCGGAAATAAGCCTTGGTGATATAAGAAAAACATGCATGAATGTTAACCATAAAAAATGTCAGTGTTAATGTTTATGAAGAATTTTGTATATCTAAAACATGATTATTTAATACATGAAGCGTTATTTACGTACATACTGTCAAGTTTAATAGTTCAAAATACATTATGTTAATGTTACATTTGTTATAGTACCACATTTATTGTTTTGTACATGTGATTCGTATTGAAAATAAATTGTTGAAATTATAAGAATGCTTATTTGTTTACCCTACTAATGAGCTTAAAATGAAAACATCATATTCCAAAAAGTTTGAAATAAGGTTAAATCATGGTCAGATAAGTTTGGATTATGGTCAGATAATGGTCAGAAAAGGTTGGATTATGGTCAGATAATGGTCAGAAAAGGTTGGATTATGGTCAGATAATGGTCAGAAAAGGTTGGTTTATGGTCAGATAATGGTCAGAAAAGGTTGGATTATGGTCAGATAAGGTTGGATAAGGGTCATTTTATGACGTTGTATAGACGTCGGATTCTGACGTCTAAAAAACTTTCAAATCCAACCTTCTGCCAACGTTTATCCAACGTCAGGGTCTAACGTCAGTACAACGTTGGTACAACGTCTTTTGTTTGCTGGGGATGACTAAAAGTACCAATTTATCTATAGAATTAAAGAGAGAAAAAAAATCATCATTCCTTACCTGCATACAATGTATAGATAATCCTGGACCGGTGTAAAGTTTCTTATGACAAATATGACATTTAAAATGTTTTGCTTTCTGATGCTGTATTAAAATCTTTTCATCATCAAATTCTCTGTTACAATACCTAAATCTTGTTAAGGAAAATTATTCTTTGATCTAATTTTAACATTTTTAATGTTATAACACCACACAAACCCTGTCAGTGAAAAGCTAGCTCACCACCAAGAGTATTTGTGCACTTATATAAAGAAAACATTCCCTTATGTTTATTCACCAACTTTAGTTTTTTGCATATTATTATGCTCATTATCAACAATATGACGTTCTGCAAAAATTGTTACATTTCTTTCCCCTCCAAGAAGTCTGGTCCCGGGACTTGGCCTTGGAACTCTGTAGGTACCATAACTCCAGTCTGGCAGTTGTCAACATTCCCCTAACTGGCCACCAAATGTAACATCTGATGATCTGATACTATACTTCATACTCATAGATTATATTATTTACAAATTCTGTAAAATTTCATAAAAGTTATTCTTTTCTCTCTTCAAATTCATAGTCTTTTTAACAATACCCTGAAAATCAACAAAATGTACCATTGAATTGAATAATTTTCCCTTTGATAATCAAAATAATGAAAATGAAAATGGATTGGGTAACTTTCCTAATAATCATCTCAAACAAATATGGGAGTGAAACGTCCATACAATTGACATAATGGGAGTGAAACGTCTAGGTGTGAACCATCTCAATAGTGAAATGTCTTGGGAGTGAAATGTCTGGCATTCCCCGGAAAGAGACAAACAACGAAACGACCACAACGAAACTCCTTGGGTCTAACCGGACAAAACTGGAAACATTAACAGATTAAGTATTCATGGATAATTAAAGAAATACGTGAAATCTAACATGTCACTGAAAAGGATACCAACACCAAGGCTTTAACTGCTTCTTCTTTTTTCTTCCCATTTTGATAAATTGAGCAAAATAATGTTAAAGATTTTTTGTAAAACAACAAAATTCCTGCGGAAGTGGCGTGTAAAGTGCCCGTATGAAGTTCACTAAACGCCGTACAATTACCGTTTTGACTTCCGGACAAAAAAAATTTACTTTCTCGATCACCCGATCAAATTTAATGTTTTATGCACCTTTTAATTGTTTTAAGAGTTTATTGATCTAGTTAAAAATCAGTTAAAATTGATGAATTATTCTTACCTCGTTATGATTAGACTTTTATCATGTGTTCATGTAACATATTTGTCTAGGTTAAATCACGGATATATATTGTAATTAGTCCAACTAATTAGACTTGTCAAAGAGACACCGAGATAATTTTGGACGGGCGCGGTTTGACATTGTAATATAAATCCGTGGTTAAATAGGCATTATTGCATTGATTTGAAATAAACTGCATTCGTTGCTGAATATAAAATCATACTATTCGCAAAAAAACGGAAACAATAGACAGTGTCGTATAAAGAAAACCACTTTTAACTTCAAAAGTTCAAATCGAGCGGTCCAATGACTTTTCCCCGCTTAAACTGAGCATGTTAATTGGCTATACACGGATTAAATGCACGAGTATTGCAAATCAAGTAATCAACTCGATCCGTTACAGAAGACATGGAGGATATTTGTTTAGTTCAGTGTAAGATCGGTTCAATATATTTCACCGAGTGAGCACCAAAAGGTATATTTCACGAGTGGCGTAGCCACGAGTGAAATATGAACTTTTGGTGCTCACTCGGTGAAATATATTTCGATCTTACATTAAACTAAACAAATTTTATTTTTATTATATGCAAAGAAACGTTTAAAAAGACATTTTAACTAAGTACTTGTTAAATGAAATGGGCGCCATATCATTAAGTTGGTTTCCAGTACTATGAACGCTTGTACATATTTCACTGAAACAACGTAACGGACATTGAAATTATCAAATTGATAATTTCACTGTTTAAAACAGTGAAATTTTCAGTTTTTATTTCACTGATATATTTCTATAAATACCGAAAATCATGTAATAAATAAGTTTGTCTAACTCAATCATCATATTCTATTTTCTCCTTCTATTCATGCAGGGTCTTTCAAATAGGACCCTGATTCCTGCATCTCTTTCCTTTGTTTCAAAAATGTAATATAATTAGTACAAAGATTTTCAAAGTGACGTAGGGAAGTAATACAATTAATTAGAATAAATTTCCATGCATATTTCTCCCCCAAAAAATTAATATGTGATTTAGTAAGGTGTTGGTAGTTTTCACTCCGGATCACGGCAGTAATAAGATATCATATATCAGAAAACCTTACATTGAATGTCCACATAAACAGGACACCCAAGCAAGAAAGCAAACCAAACCTAGCTAGCTATACGCAGGTTTCCTACGCAGAAACATAATAAAGATTAAATCCCAATCTATTAAGTCCATTTCTTACCAGACGTTAGTCAAACCCCAGCACGAATATGGTTCCGAAGTATGGTCTCCCTACACCAAAATACACATAGATCAAATTGAAAAAGAAGAGCAGCCCGATGGATCAAGCTGAATAATGGTCAGACCTCTAGCGTCACGGACATGCTTCACTCCCTTAAGCTTCGTAAACTGGAACTCAGACGTATCGATGCTATATCATGCTAGGTTATCCCTTTTCTATAAAGTTCATCATGGTCTGGTTGCTATCCACATTGAAGAATATGTAACACCCCTCCCGAATATCACGCCATGGCCATCCCCTGTCATATATTATTTTAATTTTACAAAACTCATTGATTTTCTTCTGAATAATATTTTCTAATTTGTCATGAAATTGTATAATATGCATGTAATATCTGAAATAAATATTGTAAGACTAACCCAATAAAACATAAAAAGATAAGAACAACTAATATCCATAATGGCATTTATAGTTTTTTTATTTATTGAAACTCAAGTAAGTAACTTCCGTTGCGCAAAGGAAAACTTCATTGTCGCACCCATTGTACCAAATAAAATGATAAATATTCAATTTCTAAAATAATTGAAGATTCCTATCAGACTGCGGTCTCTTTTATCTAACTGTTTCCCATTTGAGATGCTTTAATACTACACTATTTCAGCACAACTTGACTCACTCTGTACAGCCATCTCGTCATTTCATAATTATGTACTTGCAAATTGTACTTAAACGTCACCAAACTCCTCACAGTGATTACCTCCCTTGGCAGAATTGCCGAAGAATTAAGGGGAGATCACTGCGTGGTGAAATGAAACGTCACTGATATCGGTCTCAGCGGGAGAGAAAAGGAACAGCCGCACGTACATGTACAGTCCTTTACCAGCGTTTATTGGCAGTTTAACACCATTTTTCGTCTTTGTGTATAGTGACAAAGTCACAAGGCATATAAGAATAAATATTATTTCAACAGAGTTTCAGAAAATATGTTTGTAGGGAGAAAGTTTTTTTCAATAGTATGAATATGCATTTTGAACATGCAAAGGAAAATAATAAGGGTTTTAGATCAAACCTACATTGCAGTTTTTCTCCAGTAAGCATTTTTATTTCTTTGATTGAAACATACTTTTCTACAGAAGTTAACGTTGATACAATTATTAATGATTGACTCACATTGTCGATTTAATCGGAGAGTGTATACAAGCTTGTGGTGTTGCCATTATTAATATATTAGACAGATAATATCATGGATAATTGTTGTTGCGACATTTGAAAAAAGGAGAAACAATATGTAAATGGGATGATATTTTCTTTTATGATTCGCGAATGAGTTCCCAAGTGTAAACATGTAACGACTATATAAATCCTTTAATGTGTTTTTTTGTGTGTGTATGTGTTCATTTGCGCGACTTTTTAACCCAATACTTTTATTCAAGAACAGATATTTCAGTATCATTATCATTCGGTGTGCGGAAAATGCGGGTCATAGATATCTAAAACAGAACGGACGTTGTACAGGATTTTAGAAAGTTCTTTGTTTTTTGGGGTTTTTTTTGGTCAAATTTATAGCTGAATTCAGAAAAAATACTTAAAAACTACATAAAATGTTGGTTTTTGACCTGATAAAAGCTGCATGTGTACGGCTGGTATTGTTGGTGCACAGTTTGCTGGTGATATGGCTGGCAGCTAGTATAACTCACCAGCGTTTCTACTGGATCCTGGCACTGGCTAACATTGGTCTTCTGACCGAATCTTTTATTACGCTGATAAGAAATAAAGGACAAGAATGGAAATGGTGAGTTTCAATGTAATTTTTAATTTTAATCATAAATTAATGCTATAATACAAGGTAGAAGTACATAATTATCGAATAGAAATTAGTGATGGTTACTAATAAAACATAAACGACTTTATACGCGATGTAAATTACGATTTCTCCTTTAGAAATATCTTTTTTTATAATTTTAAACTTGAGCATGATTTCTTTTTAACTTTGCATAATTTTTATTATCTTAATTTGATGAACTAAAAGAGTAAATAGAACAGATAATTAAACAAGTAGGTTGGTGGCCCCCAATTGTTTTTCATAAATTAGTTTTAATTATGATTCTTTTTCATTACGCACAAAGTTCAAGAAATTCCCCGCAATAGTTTAAATTTTCCTTTTTTGTCTATGAACAAAACGTCGCTGCTGCAGGAAACGTCTCTACATGAAATTTTCTAAATTGAAATAATTTAAAAAAAAATCATAATAGCTATACAATCAAAACAATATAATATAATTATGATACATTTTGTCACTCGTACATTTACTGCAGGGATGTAATGTATAGAAATATATATTGTCTGTAAAATGTTTTCATTTATTTCTAAAATGGACATTAGAACCAAAAAAAAAAAAAAGAAAAAAAGAATGTAATATTTGCATCGTCAACTTTGTTGTTATGTTGAGAGTTACAATAACAACAACAACGACAATAACGATTTTATTTTTCAAGCCAGGTTTCAATTGAACAAATATACGAGTACATTTAGAATATTAATTGCCTGTAAGAGATTCTTTTAACGTTTCTCCAAAATTGATATGATTTAGATGTAGAGGATCCGTGTGTGTTCAAGTTTTGTAGATTTACGTAAATATATATATAAAAAGTTACTATTATAACAGACCATCTATGTTTAAATTTACTGAATTATTGTGTATTAAAATAAAAAAAAATGTTAATAAATGTTTGCAAATATATCAAAGAAGCTTTAAAGCTAAGAAATTCAATTTTGAACTCTCATTTGTAGTTTATCCTCTCATGAATTTGGTGTTCGTAATTGTTATGTTTATATTTATTATAATGACTCGCCATACATATATTTATGTGATTATGTTGTATATATTATTTAATACATGTTAACAAGACGATGTACTTTGTATAAGTCTAGAAAATAAAATTTCTGTTCTGTTCTGTTCTATGATATATTTTCTATCAGTGAGATATCCATTTATCTATAATATTTCGAAATTGCTCATTTACAGTACTACAAAATTGATGTTGTAATTCAAATATTCACAGTCTATAATAAAATGATGTTTATGTTGTTTCACTTTATGTAAACCTACTTAGATGAAAAACAAAAAATGATGTTTATGTTGTTTCACTTTATGTAAACCTACTTAGATGAAAAACAAAAGTTTGAAAGTTTCATCGAAACACTATTTTATCATTTACTGAACCATGCACATATTCAGTATATATTCACGAAATATTTAATATGTTTTGTTGTTGTATTTGTTATTGTCATCATCATCATCATCATCATCATCATCATCATCATCATCATCATCATCATCATCATCATCATCAATATTATTTTTTTACAAAGGGTGTTAAGAAAAAAGACGAGTTTTACTTTTTTGTAACTTAATTTCAGTGTAATTTGCCATTGGATTTTACAGGTTAAGAAATTAGTCGTTTCAAAATTCTGTATGTTGACAATCCTATTATTAATTGGCACAACACGAGCAGTCTGTAGAATAGTTCTTCACCGAACGTTATGTCTTCATAAAGAAAGGCTATTTGATATATTGTTGACTAACAGATAACTGACCCTATTTTCCTATATAAGGGATTATCATATTAACTACAAACGTGAAATATTACTTTCAATTTTATCAGTTAATAAATCCCTTCTCTCATCTATATTAACATAATATACTGGACGATACTTAAGATTTATTTACTTATTGCCCACAATGTAATATATTTTGCCCAAACAAGTCCTAAAAGATTCGTCAGAACAATGACCACAATTTGTTCTATTTGGTAAAGGTTCATTCAGCTCCTGTGATCCTATACCATTTTTATTTTTCAAAGACTTTTTTTTATATAAAATTGCCCTCACGTTTAGTTAAATTTCTATATAAAAAATCGTATATTTACATATGCCAACAAATATCGATACATACCCGGTTCCATATTCATATAGTACCCGTCGCCTTGGACAGATTTACTTTGTATATTTTGAACTATATCTGAACACAATATTACTTGTGTCACTATCATTATCTAAATGAAAATAATAAAAGTTTTTTTCGCTTATCACTCTGAATATTTACAAATTGAAGCTTCATAATTTTGCGTCAATACGCATTCTATATATGGATAATGTGAGATGTACATGTTTGACTAGGTAAAAATAATAACGGAATGTTCCGTAAAAATGCTAAAAAAACAAAACAATTAAAATAAAGTGAAAATCAATACATGCACTTTTTTATGTAAAAAATGCAAATTTTTAAGACCTACAACTTTCCTAGACACACACACACACACTGTGTTGTATGTGTAGAAACCGGTGACAGTTCGTTTTGAAGCAAAAGAATTGAACGTATTAGAAGCAGATTTGGTTAAGTTTAAAATAAGTCAGTTTAATAGGGGAATAGTGTAAAGCGTTACGCTTCACAATATGGATAATTGAAGATTTCAGAAAGAAAGGTCACGTCTTTTAACCGGGTTAATGAAAATGGAAACGCTCCCTTTTCATGGAAACATTCTAAAAGGTCATCTTGTAATCATGGAAAATTTTATTCGTTGTATGGCATAAACCTATCATAATGTTTTCACGCAAAAAGTGTTGCTGTGCTTTTTATGAACATGTTATATGGGAAAAGCATTTGTTTCCATTTATAATATTTTCTTCCTACCATTTAAATAATGTTAAAGGGGATAAGACTTAGACAATTCGTCAAATATCCTAAACAGTGTCGGTGTAAGTTAAAACTGAAACATACTTACAGTATACTAGAACTAATTTTTACATTTCAGTCTTATATATGTTACATTTTTCCGCTAGGGTACCTAAAATAATAACGTATTTCTAATATTTATTATATAGCATAAATTCTTCGATCTCCTTGCTTTTTTATTAATCTTTAAACAATGCTTTAGATACCACCCCCCCCCCAAAAAAAAAAGATAAAAAAAAACCAACAATTTTCTTCTTTTTATTATCACACCCACGATCTAATATTTTTATTAAAATACATAATATCTATTGTTTGTAAACAAACATTTGGCATGGGATATTTTCAGTTAATCTTAATAAATGGCTGCATCGTATATTCTTTTTCAGGTTCTGTCCATGCTTCTTCTTTTACCTGTGCAGCACGATTCCAGGTATCTGGGTGCTCGAGCTGGACAGGATGAATGGCTATCAGGAAAAATCCCGAGAACAGCGTGACCATAGCAAACCTATTGAAACCACGACGGTTAATACAACGCAGATCACTAGACAAACACTAGATACAATTCAAGGGGTAAATATCAATTCTAATACGGTATCATATTACTTTAAATTTCTAATATTCTGTTGAGTGAAAGTTGGTAGTTTAGTCAAGTGATTATCGCTGCTGGCATCTAAAAAATAAGACTACTTTTTATAGTTTGATAAATTGATTGTTAACTATGTTAAAAGGTTTGAAACTACTTTTCAAGGTAGTGTTGTTTAAGATAGTCTTCCGTTGCTAATTAACCATTAATTTTGCATAATATCAATATTGAAAATGCGATGAATATGATATTATCTAAATTGCTGGAGCAAACTTGCACGAATAGTCTAATCAATAGACTAATCGGAAGAAAATTATAACAGTACACTACTTTAATATTATACCCTCCTGTACTATGCAAAAGACGTCAGGGAGAAGTTAACAGTTATAATTGATGACTTTATTATAAGAACACATTTTAAATTTTAGATGACTATCCCCATTGTATTAGAGACGGAAACCTGGGTGATTATCATGGAACAACTCTTCCTGTATTTGATGATCCTTTCCCGATGGATTTTGCCAAGAGGGGAGATAACTCGAAATGAGTTGTCCCAACTTCTTTTCGTCTTTATCGGAATAGCCTCGGACATTACCGAGCTGTTCGCGTTGTTCGAAGAGTCTGCTGTACGCATGAGTACAAATCTTACCTACGTAATATTGTGTATTTGGAGCATCAGTTTACTTCAATTTACATTTGTTCTCACTTCCACTCACAGTCCAAAGAAAACACGAACTGCTCTTGCCACACCGACAGCTTCTGGTGTTGACGAGGAAGATAATGAAGAAAAACAGAACATAATCACAGCGTTCTTCCAGACCGAGGTTTGGAGTATTTGTATAAACTTCTTGCTCCAAGATGGCCCGTTTCTGGCAGTTCGACTGTTCACGATGATTGAATTCAAAGTACTCACGTACAGTATCATTTTCTTCACGGCCAAGAACGGTCTTCTGGTCATGCTACTTGTCTACCGTCTATCTGCCCTCTGCTTGGAAAGGAGGAGCAAAATCGGTGCCACAGAAGACGAGTCGTCTTCCATTGGCTCTAAGAAAGCTCTAGATAAATCTGCAGAGTTTATAGGAGAAATTGATGAAACAAAGAAAGACAGAAATGCAATGCCAATGACTGAAACTAGAAAGCGGAACGGAAATAATAGCCCTGAAAACGAGCAGTAATTTGCTTTATTAACATTATCAAAAGCCCGAGTTCTTTTTGATGTGCTTTTTCTAAAACCACAGTGCAGTAAATTGTTTGACAAAATTGTCAATACGGACATATTTGAATTTACGTCTTGTATGTAAATGTGTATGTATTCGTAAATGATTCTTTCTGTACCGAAATACTTGATGAACTCTGTAAAATTTAAAGTGCTTTCATTTCTTACTATTTAAATGTATATGTAGATATCATTTTCATTTAAAGTTAATAGATAGAGCTATCTAGAAATTCTGCGTGTATTTTTCGTCTAAATTAGAATAGCAAGCAGAAGCCCTTTAAATTCTAAAATTTTCATTTTTCTGTTTAATACGATGTCAATGTTGTACAAAATTCTTATATTGTGCTTGTATTTACTTCAAGTTACATAATTATGTATATATATCAATGTCTTGGTCAAATCTTTCTTTTCTTGTCATTCATTAAGCGCAATAAATTCGTATGTTTTCATTTACAAAGATTTACTTGATATATGTCCTTTTACGACACAATTAAGGTCTGAATTAAGAATTAAATCATACCCATGCCATTAAGAAGCCTGTACCGTTACTGTCTCGAAGATTTCATGTCGATGTTGGGTAGATATTGGCCTGACATCCTTGCAATGAACGTATGCCATTTTATGCTGTGATTTATTTCGGGGAAATTCTATTCAAGTATGTCCAATATCAATTAATAAAAGCGGGAAGGGCAGAAGCCGCCGTGTCTCTATTCACGGGACAGCCTTTGTAGTACTCTCCTGCGCATCGGTCGAATGTTCCACTATCGCTCACTTCTTACGAAGTCTGAAGTAACGCGAGTGTATTCAGTGAGCTGCGAAGGGAGCGTACCTTTGTAGTGGCTCAGTAACAATCAAAATTAATTTCATTAAATATATATCCAATCACTTTAGCCAAAACAATACAATGCTTGAACAGATTATGGGATACTTTTGTATAAGAAAGTGGCATTCCGTTAAATCAAGAAAAAATTGAATATTATTTAATATGCCATGTTTTTCGTCCGGTTTCCTAAATATTGAATTGAAATATGTTCATATATGTGTAGGCTCCTGCTGGGTAAACACTATTTGAAATATTTCCAGAAGAGAAATGACCTCTTTTGTTCAGGAAGGAGTCTATTTCATGAAAAAATTATTGGAATACTCGGCTCAACTCCAAGCATTATTTCTAAATGTAAGTACATGTACTTGTATCATTATATGTGATACGTTGAATAATGGAACAAACTTAAGTAAATTGTGATTTATACGTTCTGGCACTTAAACACTACAATAGAGAAAAACAGAACCCCTAAAGAACGCTCAAAACGACAAAAAAAATGAAAATGGTGTAGGCTCGGTTTGATTAAGCCTGTTCATGAACGGTAATGGAAAGTGCAAGTTACCGTCCAAGCTACCTAGCACCGGATTACGAAGAATTCATCATTTAAACACGAAAATGGTGAAACTTTGAAATATCCGCAGATGTGTTCATTCGGCGATTATCTCAAGACTCACTTATTGTGTTTAAAAGCTTAATCGTCCGACTATACTTAAAGGAACTCCACTGAGTATTTTTTTCGACATGATTGGACTGGAAATATTTGTCCAAGATTTGTGAACCATTCGATGTAGGTCAGGGTCAATAACTTGTGTACAACTTTTGAAGTTATTTCTCATCCTCTTGGTACAGAATAAAAAAATGCAAAATGACCAAAAAATGAAAAGCATTGCACACTTTGCATTCAAACCTGGCTAGGAATTGCACAAAAATATCGATTTTCAAATAAATTCTGAGTATATTTCTATTATCGTTTGCATTTTTTTTTCATTTTAAGTGCTCCACTTGGTCTTTGTAAAATTTCAGATTTTATGTTTTAGGCCTTTGGACCTCAGTGGAGTTCCTTCAAATCTCAAGTTCAGTTTGTAAAAGGGCATTATTCTATTTGTACAATCCCTTTCCTTTAAATTTTGATTAAAAGCATGCCATATGACTGGTATCCTTATCTAATATCTGATATCGGGTATAGAAACTTCCAACGTTGGTAAAACTTAAGGTGCGTGGGAACTACCGTATTAAAATTATTTTCATGAATAAAAGAGAATAAATATGTCGGTAACCTTTATCAACAACATGTTTTATCAATATAACTCTCATATAAACAACAAAGGGTTAACTCATTTATATAAAAAAAACTCTCATGTGAATTAATTCATTAACATAGCTTGGCATTTAAAAAAATAGAGCAATTGCTCTGCGTATTGGTTAAATTACAATGTTCGATCTTTTTGATGGCAGCATAATTACTTAACATGGTGTTAATATCGTTTATTTTTGTCGACTTTGTTAGTGTAATCATATCAACTTCCCGGAAGAGAGAGCAGCAGTGTTATTAACATTTTAATCTAAATATAAAAATGCTCAGAAATAATATACCATTTAATGTAAAGGGAAACAACAATAGTGTAACTTTAATGTGATAACCACTATGCAATGACGTTGATACATAGTAAAAAAAATCAAACAAAAATTCATAAACAACACAACACACTTGTAGACGAATTAAGTAGTATCATTAAAAACATACATGAAGAAAGGTAAACATATAAATAAAACACTTCAACTGGTTAACTGGATATTCAACATTCACACAATCTATTGTAGACAAATTAAATAAAAATATATAATATAGATTTGTTTTCATATTTTGAAAACCAAACTGTCTTTTATTTTATTCTTAAAAAAAACTGTTCAAATTAGATTTTCTATACTCTGAGTACTATGATATTAACACATTCTTGGTTGGCTTTTTTCGAACTTTTATGAAAATGAAATAAAAGAAGCCCATCTTCAATGTCATGCTATTTTTATTAGAATCGAAAAAAAAAATTATAAGTAAAACATGGTCAAATGTATAAATATTTTAATGAATTTGCCGAGACTTAGGCATGTAATGAAGTTCATAGAAATATTTATAACATGGCAGAAAAATATATAAAAAGACCTTACTCCGTTACTATCTTGCAAGAACAATGTTGATAAATGAGTCATATTTAGCATTACACGAGCAAAGCTTTTAAGCTCGTGAATAGTGTGATTTTAAATTCTAAATGATCTGGAGGAATGTAACTTAAAACAAATTACATGTATTACAATTAGGGTAAACAGCATATTCAACTTTGAAATATTCGCTTTAACAGTTAAAGTTCTCGGGATGTCCTCATGCCTCGTCACTGGAATTGTAGTAACTTTCACTGTCATCATCGTAACTTCCGGTTGTGTAACTTCCGGAACCAGAAGAATAACTTCCGGTTGCCTCGCTTATAACTGAAAAAATGTCCGGACTAGATTCTGAAACATACAAGTCTTCCATGTCATGGACAGGTGGATCAAATAATTTTGAGTGAGATCTCTTTATTGACAGGGCTTCACTAAAATTTGATTCTAAAGATGCCCTCGAGCGTGACAATCGGCGTTCAATAGATTTGCGAATTTGATGGGACTGTAATAAGCGATTTTCAATAAACTGAGCCAAGTTTTGATCATCCTCACTTTCTTCACTTTCATTGAGAATTCGGTTCTTTGAAAAAGATGGACGCCATTGTATCGTATTTTCTTTACTGATATTTTCCACTACACCTGGAGTATTGTTTAAGTCATCGCTTTCATTTTCGTCTTTTTCAGACCTTTTTTTATTCTCCTTCGGCTTAGACACTGCTATTCGTTTTAATAAGTCCTCCTCCCAAACAACTTTACTTTGTCTCCGGAGACTTACTAGAAAACTTCTTCGCAACCGTTTTGGTTTTCTTGGTTCCGGTGATACTGCTGGCTGTGACGTCAGAGCAATGGCGGTCTTTAAAATTTTCAAACGTTTTTCGTCGATAGGTAACGAATCGTCGGAATCAGAATCGGGCCAAAACGAACATGGTGTAGCAAGATTATGATCAGCTGATCTGAAAGTCGCATCTTTACCTGCTTTCTTTTTATTACTAGAACGTTCAAGTTCCTGTTGTCTAAGAAGATCAAGAAAGCTGTCCGTCCGTTTTGCTTTGTCTTCTTCTGTATCTTTATACGCAGCCGAGACTAAGCAAAGAGAGTGTACTTCCGGAAATCTTATTCCTGTTTGAGCATTTTGTCCTTTTATTGACGCAAGTTTCTTAAGTCTTGGTAAGAAATTACCAGTGGAAATATTTGGTAACCTATGCTGAATGCGATTCGCTTCTTCTTTTAGTGGAACGAACTCATTAAAATAAACATCATAAATTTCATGTTGAACTTTACTTATTCTTTTATGACAGTCTGCATCAAAAACACTTTTCTTGTCTTCTAATGACTTATGGAACACAGCGTTCTTGTGGTGAGCTTTTATCATACGTTCACTTCCGGCCATAAAGTCGAGTTTCCTTGGGCGTCTTCCGGTCACCGAGCCATGACGAAACATTTTTCGGATGTTGAGAAACACTTCTTTAATCCTGTTTACTTGATGTTTTAACCATCACAGAACACTTAAAATCTAATCTAAAAGTATTTAAAATGTTATTTACTTCCCTTGTTGAAATATCTAATTCTAGTTTATTAATGTGTCGTATTTGTTTATCTTCGGAAATTGTCCATTTGAACTTGGCAGTTTGCAATAGAGAAACATTTCAAATAACTGTTTATAAATTTCGCAGTTTAGGTTAACGACAAAAGGAAAGAATGTGTATTTCTTTCTTTGTCATCAGCCAGCCGTTATAAACAAAAATATATCTTTTTGAAGTGACTATGGAGAACAATAAATTGTTATAAAATTCTTGTGTTTTGATGCGGTATCTAGTATTTATCTAGCTACAGAACACCTAGCAACAATGCGTAAGCAAGAAATGCTTTCTCAAAGACTACTTTATCAGTAATACATACAGAGGTTTAACTGTTCAAGAACACAACGGTGTTTTAAAAGTCTTTTTATTCATAAAATTACTCATAAAGGTGTTGTAAATAATGAGAAATGTCATTAAGCTCGTTTTATTTCTAAATTAAGGAAAAATCTCGTCATGATCTTTAAATCAGTATTTTTACTTAAACTCATTTGTAACGCATCACTTTTGAAACTCATTATTTTTTAAAGGATTATTACTTCCATTTCAAATTTCTTTTTTTTCTTTTAAAGATGTTTATTTGCTTATTTAACATTTCAAACTGCAGTTACTTTTCTGTTTAAGGGGAAAACATAACACCATTTTAGGGGAAGATATATCTTTTTTTTGGGCTAGGGGAAACCACCTTTTGGCTTGAGGAAACAACCTGTCTAAGGCTGTAAGATATGCGAAAAAAATCATTATTATATCACACCGCTCCGTTTAAGAAATTAATGATAATTGCTGTGATATAATAACCTTAATACTTAGTTATGATTTATCCAAATGCAGGTAGGTGCTATGTTAAAATAGCTTTCAGTATATAACCATGTTGCTTTAATCAAAGATATAAAATACATTTTATGGTTCATTGTTTTTCATACATTTCATTTTTTTACAAAGCAAATTGATTAAGCACCATCGACTTTCTCTGTATGTTGTGGGTTTACATTAACACTAGTTCGAGTCATGTGTGTGACAGGTGAGTTCGAGTTATGTGTGTGACACGACAAGGTAGATTTATAAATAAACGTGACACGAGTTTTTTTGTGAGGAGTTAGTAGATGACTCTTTAAATTAATTCTTTGATATATGTAGAGAGAGAGAAGTCTTCACAAAGTAACAAATTAAAAGCTATACATTTAAAAGGAAAAAAAAACATATAACAATACGGAACTTGCATGTTCTTATACATGTTACTGAAATATATTGCTTACGATATACATGTAGATCTACTTATTTTGCAGAAATGAAAGTATAAACAAGTGAGAAGACACTTGAATGTTTTTATCATGTTTTTTTATGATATTTCTTCATTTCTTCATTGCACAGACAAACGGGTAGATCATTTTACGCTAAACGTTAGGGATTTTAGCAGAGCAAATGTTAGAACATTTGTGTTAGTTAGATGTAAACTAAAAACGTATATATCGAGAAATAAGCAAAGAAACTCTAACTGATAACTTAATGAAGTATACAAGATTTTACTTTGGCAGAACGACATACAACAATAGATAGTTTTTATTAAATTGCCATTTTGTAATATGTGTCAAAAACATTAGACGTCGGGATTTTAAAATGAATTGTTGATCACATCTTATATGTTAATAGATCAAAATAGTACCGTAGTTAAAGTGTATTTACCAAATGTATCGATGTGTTTCACATCATTACGGTTATAATTTTGTTACAAACGTCATTTTGTAGCCAACATAAGATAATAGTGGACATATAATTTAACTTTACTACAAGTCCAAAATGGACGATGTTCGGAATTGCTTGAAAACGCTGACTAAGTTGAGTATTCGTTCTTAGATGCAACATAACTAACATCTTAGGCAATTGACAATGTGGCCTTACGGGGGCAAAAAAACGTTCGTTTCAAACAATGGCAACCAGATCAAACTAACGGGTAATAGTTATTATCCAAATGGGAAACAAACTGGAGCTCCAAACAAAGAATATTTTAACCAAGTCACCATGTCGGTTTCCGTCGGATTAAATGGATTTCCAGCTAACAAGATCGCCGCCGACGGACGGATCATGAGACAGTATGGAGTTAACAGACAAGATGTCACAGATGACTTCATTACCAGAAATCGTGGCGGATTTAAACAAAGAATCTTTGCAGAAAGCGGTAAACAACTTCATAATCGGAACGTAAGTCAACTAAAAGTCGTGTTAAATATGCCGTCGCACCAACGTCGCGATTCGTTGTCACAAATCACGTCAGCCATCGTCAAAAATGAAGTTGTGCCACCTCTTGCCCAGTTACAAAACGACGAAATTTTGAGCGACCATATGAGAAAATCGGCAATGAATTTACAAAATATGGCAACAAAATTACCGCCTTTAAGGAGGAACTCTATACAGAAAGCAAAACATCTTGAACATGCTTTTTCACAAGGGAATGAAGGGAAACAACCGGTGAAATTGGATGAAAATTCTGATGAGGAGGATGAAGATGGGTTGCCTTATATCGACATGAGACTTACCAGACGTAAAAGTAGTGAGCATTTTGATGTTGGAAATACACAAAGGACATCAGCACCTTCAAACTGGAAAGCAAGTCTTATGAGGAGAAGGAAAAGTTTCAATATGAGATTCAACACAAGAACTGCGGGTGGTGTAAATGAAAATGAATCTATTTCTACGGGTTCTGATAGCGGGAATTCGAAAATTGACAGAGACAGAAAAGATTCGGTAGGCAGAATAACAGAATCAATTAGGGATCAATTTCGGGCAGTGGTTCAAGAGCAATTACAGTCTCAAGATCGCCAGTCAATGAATTCAGTTTATATGAATACTAATCTTTCAGTGTCAGGGCGTGTTGGGAATGAAAGTCTTGCAAAACAAATTCCAGCGGAAAGGGCAAAGAGCGTGACGAGCGGATATAAGTTGCGACACGAGTATGGTAAAAATCTTGAAAGAAACTGGTTTAAAAATCAATATATGAAGAAGTATGCAAAGGACAAAAGGGTAGACCAGAGCCCTAGCGAGAACGGTTACAACTTGCGCTTGGATATTTTCTATAGCCCAGAGCCCCAGTCTGATGAATTAGATGATTCTGCTGATGAAGATGCAAACATATTTATTGAAGAAGATGATGCAAGTATGCAATGTGGTGGTTTTTCAACGGCAACGGCGGAAAAGAGATCCCGAAGACAACGTTTAAGTTTGCAGTCAAATCGAAGATCTTCATCGTTAGATCCGCCAAAAGAAATAGACGAAGATACTGATGCAGAGTCTTCAGATTCTGATATTGAAATTATCCTGAAAGATAATCAATTAATTCAACGAAAAACGAAGCACAAAATGCAGAAGAAACGTAGGAGGCAAATTGAAAAATACAAGCCATATCTTAACCACGCGATGGATGCTGTCCACGAGCAACAAGAAACTATAGAGAGTCCCCGTCTTACAGATCAGGAGATTCGGGCACTTAGACTCAATTTGAAAAACAAAGACAAAATAAGACGATTAAAAGGAAAAAAGAAATTTCTCCAAATTGCTAATGTAATATTCGCCGTTATACAATTTAGGAAAATCCTCCGCGAGATAAGACGAAAGAAGAAGAATATCATTAGAAAACGGCAGCAAAAAATTGCACAGATGGTTGCGAAAAGATTGTCTAAGAAAGTACAGGATAATTCCGATGAGTCTGATCGAGAGCCGACACCAAAACCAACGTTAAAGGAACAATTTTTACAGGAAGGTGGACTTAAACTTATCTTTGATATAGAGAAACTGAACATTTCAAAGGAGAAAATCGTAGAGCAGAGTTCCTCGGAAAGTGATTCAGATAATGAAGAGCAAGAACCAAAGGAGGAAAAGAAACAACCGATGTTAACTGTTTTAAAACCATTTGAAAAAAAAGAGTCGAAATTCGCCGAAGAAATAAAGAAAATTTCACTGAAAGATCTCGAAAATCTAAACAATTTTCTAAGAAAGAAGAAGAAAAGAACTCGAAAACGGCGACATAGCGTCCCAAAACTTTGCAGGCCGTTTGAATTTCTGTTGGAAATCCCTGTCAAACAACGCCAACGTCAAAGCAGATCTAGAGCAAGTGTCACGAAACAGAAAGAGGTTCGAAGAACATATTCCCCACCTGCACCAAAATGCTCCTGTCACCGGTCAAAACATTCAGATATGGTTCAGAAATCTATACCACAGACGAAAAAATGTCCACATCAACCGGAAGTGAAAAAGCAGAAAACAAAGGTCATCAAGGTTCAGACGGCAGGTCTGATGAGAACATCTAGCCTCGAAAATCTATCAAAGAAACGTCCCATAGAGTTAAAAGATCTTTGCTGTATCGATACCGCAAAGGAAATTAAAATTAAGTTTTGCAAAAAAAAATTTAGACCCCCAACCGTAAAAGGCAACAAAACTCTTCCCCATGCGTTTCCAGCGACATTAAAAACCGGGGGAAAGCTGTCGAGTCGATTTGGGCGCTTTTAAAACGGTAAAAGTGTTTAGATTTTTTTACGGTGGACCTTCGTAGGATCTGGTGTTATGTAAAACCAAATGAAAAAGCGCCAAGCGACGTGGACAGAACTGACGTCGCGGGAAATTAAAGGAAAACCCAGATTGTAATCAAAAAGAAAAAATCCCCACATCCCTAACTCGGGGTTTTAATAAAAGCAAAATAACAGACTTAAAAAAATTTTTTAAGAATTTTTGACTTTTTACAAAACAGTACCGGTTTATCAGTTAAAATTGTCTGTGATAGAGATAATATTTAAAGATATTTATTTTGCTTATGTGTTTATTAAGTTGTTTTTACGTAGATATACAACTACATGTAGTTGTTTTTGTTAACAAATTTGCTTCCACAAAATTATCTCTCTTACTTGCTAAATGAATATGTCAGATATTGTTTGCTTCTGTTTTCAAAAAAATAGTTTGCAGTTTTGCACTAATTGTAGAATTAGAAATTTGTCACTTGCCAGATAACTAATTCGTTTTATTTTTGAACTAATAGGTTACAGATCTGCATAATTATATATTTATGAAATATACGCTACGGCTAAATAAAATCTAACCTTATGTAAAATGGTTTACTTTGTATTTTGCCAGACATTCTAGACAAGCTAAATCACAGTTTTAATAATAATTCATTACATCATAATACATAATATACGGGTATTTACAAATTCATATTGTGGAAAATGTAAGATAACGTCAAAGATACTTTTTACCGGTCATATCGAAACGCACTTAGTGCAAATAATGCTTTAAATTAAGGCCCGTTGATAAAAATATTTCCATCATTTAATTTTAAAAAATGTCACAACTTTTATAAAACCCAAATTTTAAAAATGGTGCAGAAGGCGCTTTAGATAGTCGTCAATGAGGTTCCCAATTTTATCGTAACGCGTAAAAAAAAAAGTCAAAAACCCAAAAAATTCAAAAAGTCGAATTTGAAAAAAAATTGACGATTTTATAGGGATTTTTCTCCTCAATTTTCAGGGAAGCATTTCTTCATCATACGCATATACCCCTGATATATGTCCCAAAATGACGAATCCGACAAAACAGTTAATGCATTAGTGTGATCAATTATCTTATTAATGAACTTTCCCGCAATATATAAATGGTTTTGCATAATGGAAATTGGGTTTATATCATATATCTGTCAGAAATTACACCAGTTTCAGGGGGAATATCCCACTGATAATGTGGCGACTTGTTGCGCACCCGGACCTTTTAATAATTAAATATATTTCCTGTCCAATCATATTTGGCATGTATTTGCTGATTTGGCAAAAACACTCTTAATCGAGGAAGAGCCATGAATTTGTTCCTTATTTGAGGTAATGAATTGGAATATATAAATATGCATTATGTCAAGCTTTACGATGTTTTGTTACAAAATAATATTAAAATAGAAATGGAAACGAGCTGATTCCACTACTAAATATATAAATGAAAATATTGACTAAAGTGTTGAAGATGAATATCATAACGAAATTTGAAAAGTTACCTGTTTTAAGGGTGTATCAAAATGAAACATTAAAATATATGAGTATTTGTAAAATCAAGTGACCCTCGAGCGAGGCCTTTTTTTAACTACAAGAGCCCGGTTTGAGCCGGGTGATGCTCCCCGAATAGGTTTTGGACACAGGAAAGTACACCCCTTGTAGTTTCAGAGTAATGTCCCTGGAAAAAGTTCAAAGTGCAATAATACCAAAATCAGGCAAGTCAGAGTTACTGTTCTTTGCACTGCACTTCTAATCAATGTGCTCTATCAACCTACAAAGTTTCTTGATGATATCTCTTATAGTTTTCCGAGTTATGTTCCGGACAACTTCAAAAAGTAAAAATAAACAAAGGGCAATAACTCCAGAATTAGGCAAGGCAGAGTTATGATCCTTGTGCACTGCATATCTACCCATTGAGATATATCTACCTACAAAGTTTCATATTGATATCTCTTATAGTTTTACAGCTATGTCCCGCACAAGATTTTTCTAAAAGGGGAGATAATTCAAAAATGAGGCTTAACAGAGTTATGGTTCTTTTGCACTGCACTTCTACTCAATGAGATCTATCTACCTACAATGTTTCATCTTGATATCTCTTACAGTTTTAGAGTTATGTTCCGGACAAAGTTCAAATTGTTAAAATTAACAAAGGGCAATAACTCCAAAATAAGGACAAAAAGAGTTATTGTTCTTATGCACTGCACATCTACCCATTGAGATCTATTCACCTACAAAGTTTCATGTTGATATCTCTTATAGTTTTAGAGTTATGTCCTGGACAAGATTTTTCTATAAGGGGAAATATATAAGGGGAAATAATTCAAAAATGAGGCTTAACAGAGTTATGGTTCTATTGCACTGCACTTCTACTCAATGAGATCTATCTACCTACAATGTTTCATCTTGATATCTCTTATAATTATGTTCCCGACAAAGTTCAAAGTGTTAAAATTAACAAAGGGCAATAACTCCAAAATTATGACAAAAAGGGTTATTGTTCTTATGCACTGCACATCTAACAAATGAGATATATCTACCTACAAAATTTCATGTTGATATCTCTTATAGTTTTAGACTTATGTCCCGGACAAGATTTTTCTAGAAGGGGAGATAATTCAAAAATGGGGCTGAACAGAGTTATGGTTCTTCTGCACTGCACTTCTACCCAATGAGACCTATGTACCTACAATGTTTCATCTTGATATCTCTTACAGTTTTAGAGTTATGTTCCCGACAAAGTTCAAAGAGTTAAAATTAACAAAGGGTAATTACTCCAAAATAAGGACAAAAAGAGTTATTGTTCTTATGCACTGCACATCTATCCATTGAGATCTATTCACCTACAAAGTTTCATGTTGATATCTCTTATAGTTTTAGAGTTATGTCCTGGACAAGATTTTTCTATAAGGGGAAATATATAAGGGGAAATAATTCAAAAATGAGGCTTAACAGAGTTATGGTTCTATTGCACTGCACTTCTACTCAATGAGATCTATCTACCTACAATGTTTCATCTTGATATCTCTTATAATTATGTTCCCGACAAAGTTCAAAGTGTTAAAATTAACAAAGGGCAATAACTCCAAAATTATGACAAAAAGGGTTTTTGTTCTTATGCACTGCACATCTACCCATTGAGATCTATTCACCTACAAAGTTTCATGTTGATATCTCTTATAGTTTTAGAGTTATGTCCCGGACAAGATTTTTCTATAAGGGGAGATAATTAAAAAATGAGGCTTAACAGAGTTATGGTTCTTTTGCACTGCACTTCTACTCAATGAGACCTATGTACCTACAATGTTTCATCTTGATATCTCTTACAGTTTTAGAGTTATGTTCCCGACAAAGTTCAAAGAGTTAAAATTAACAAAGGGGAATTACTCCAAATTTAGGACAAAAAGAGTTATTGTTCTTATGCACTGCACATCTACCCATTGAGATCTATTCACCTACAAAGTTTCATGTTGATATCTCTTATAGTTTTAGAGTTATGTCCCGGACAAGATTTTACTATAAGGGGAGATAATTAAAAAACCGGGCATAATAGAGTTATGGTTCTTTGACACTGCACTCTCCCTCAATGCCCTCTACCACTGTATGAAGTTTAAACAAATTATCTCCAAGGGTTTTCAAGTTATGCTCCGGACAAGACAACGGACGGACAGACGGACGGACAGACGGACAAGGCGCAGACTATATGCTCCCCCGAAATTTTTTGGGGAGCATAAAAAGGTCAATATTTGAACAAACTTAGTTATCGTCCGCTTTACAATGTTACACACAAAATATCTAAACACTATGACTTGTTGTTAAGCATATTTTAAATGGTTTTCCTATAATTTATGATCTATGTGAAAAAATAAAGTAATCCCCGGAGCGGGACCAGTTTTGCTCAAATGACACTTCTCCGCCTATGTTAACTAACAAGTTAACAAGATCATAATGTTCCCTAATCAATTAGCTAACTATAAAGGCTCTAAATGACTTTCTTTTTTTTTTGTGTGTTTTGTTTTACGGCGCACCTATATGGCGCTGAAACAGGAAATATCATTTTCACTAAACTCGGGTGTTTCAATCTTTAAGCAACACCAGGGTTCAGAACCACCTCACCTGCTAGAGCTAAGACATGCATAGACTCCAGTAATTCGAGCCCATTTATTCACCTATTAGGATCACTCAGGGATAGCCGGTGGCTGCAATTATGGATTCTCAGAACCAATTTATATTTATAACTATGAATGAAAACCAGGTACGTTTACGTTAGGTCAAATCTTGGTGAACTATTATCAAAATTCAAATTTGAATCTGAAATATGCACATGTAAAGTCACTTGTTGCTATTACAAACCAATTTTGGTATAGAGGTCACTTGTTACGAAGGTGAGTCAATGGTTGCTAAGGAAAGTAACTGGTTGCTAACGGAAGTTACTGATTGCTAAAAAAAATCACTGGTTACAATGGAATGACAATGGTTGCTAAGGAAAGTCACCGGTTGCTAAAGAAGTCACTTTCTCAGGCAATGGAAATCACAGAATTCTATGGATTATCAATGGTTGCAATGGAAATCATCCATTCCTATTGAAAGCCAATGGTTGCTTTGGAAGACCAATTGTTGCTACTGAAAACAAATAGAAACCGAACCCATTTGAACAAACTTGGAAAAGCTTCAAGCAAGATATGGCTGCCAAGTTTCATTAATTTGGCCTTGTGATTTCAGAGATGTCATTTGAAGCAACTGTGAACGCTGGTCATCTAGTAATCTTAGGTCACCATAAGATGTCATTAGAAGCAATTGTGGACGCCGGTCAGCAAGCGATCCAAGATCACAAAGAGCGTGATGTGCTATAAAGGGTATATTTTGCATAAAAACAAAAACTTGCAACTATACATAGGTTTTTCTCCACCAATTCAGATGAGGCTCTAGCCTATCAACTTTGGGGAAAATTATTGCTAAAATACTAAGAGGCTACTA